CGCCGATGCTGCTGTAGTGTTCGTCGCGGTTCTCCTTCTAGTTGCGCCAGAGTTGGTGCGCGTCGTACTATTGGTTTCCAGTGTGCGGGTCAAGGTTGTGTTGCTGGTTGCTGGAGCTTCTGCGCGTCGTGCTGGTGCTTCTCGCGGTGCTCGTCACAGTGGTGTTGCAGGTGGCTCCGTTGCTGGTGGCGCTGGTGTTGCTTGCGATGTTGCTGCTGGCGGCGTTGATGCTGCGCGTGGTGTTGCTGCTTCCGACAGGCCTTGGTGGAGTGGCATTGCAGGTGGGACTCTTGCTGCTGCCTGTGTCTTGCTACTCACAGTTGTGCTGCTGGCGGCGTTTGCGCTGCCGCTGCTGCTGCTGGCGACGCTGCTCCCTGTCGAGCGGGCCACAGCGGAACTGCTCGTTTCGCTCGTGTTGCTGGCCGACGCGTCGCGGGCCGTCGAGCGCATCTCCGCCAGGCCGCGTGGCTGTGGGACAGGCTGTGGGCTGTGCCCTGGGGCGCCTTCGGTGCCCAGCGCAGGCAGATTCGAACGCTTTGGGTAGTGACGTTTGCGCTGGGGCGATTGCGTGTCCCCCCTCGACGGCCTCGCCAGCGGGGACTGGAGACGCTCGCGCAGTCCAGCGCGAATCGCCCAGTTTGTGTTGCTGGTTCCCGTCGTGCTCGTTCTGGTGGAACTGCTGGTGGCGTTGGTGCTGCTTGCGCGTGTGATGCTGATGGCTGCATGTCGCCGGTGGAGCTGCTGTCCGGGCTGGGCGGCGGCAGGCGGCGGGCGCCGACGGTGGGCCCACGACGAGTCACTGCCCCGTCCTCGCGCTCGCCCTGGCGCTCCTGGTTAGCGCTGCTGCTGTAGGGTCTGGCTGGCGCGACCCTTCCCCCCTGGGAGCGACCGCCGTTCGGGATTGGGCCGAGCAGCAGTTGCTCCCGTGGTGGGGTTCGCAAAACTTCGCGCGGACGGACTGCGCATTTCTGCTCCGGGGCGCCCCAGTCCCCAGCGCAAAATTGAACGATCTGGGTCATGACTCTTTGCGCTGGGGTGAACGCCTCCCCCCCGCTGGTCTGGCCTGCGAAGGGGTGGGCGCGCTCGGGCAGTCCAGCGTGAATCGCCTGGCGCTGTTAGTTCCCGTCGTGCTCGTTCTAGTGAAACTGCTGGTGGCGTTTGTGTTGCTGCGCTCGGTGTTGCTGCTTTGCGTCGTGCTGACTATACGGTGGTGCTGTTGGTGGTCCAGTTGGTGGTGCTTGTATTGGCGTGTGTCGTGCTGCTGGATCCTGTCGTGGGCGTCGCGGCGGTGCTACTCCTTGCGCGTGTGCTCGTGCGTATAGTGCTGTTGTTGCTCGTCGTCATGGTCACGCTGGTACCGCTGGTTGCGTTTAAGTTGCTTCGCGCGGCGTTGTTGCTCCCAGTCGTGTGTCGTCACAGTTGCGGTGCAGGTGGCGCTGGTGCGTGTTGCTGCGTTTGATGTTGCTGTCTGCTGTCGTTGTGGTCACAATGTTGCTGCTGGTGGCGCTTGTGCTGTGTCGCGTGGTGCTGCTGCTCCATTCCTCGTCGTGGTCGTCATACTGGTGCTGCTAGTGTCGCTGGTGCTGGTGCGCGTGGTGGTGGTGCTGTTTGCTGTCGTGTCGGTCAGAGAGGTACTGCTGGTGTCGCTCTTCTGGCTTGCGCTACTATTTCTGTTGTTGTTGGGTTTGGTGTTGTTGCTGCTGCACATGGTGCTGCTGTTTTTGGCGCTGCTCGTCTCAGTCGCTCTGCTGGTTGCGCTAGATCCACTGTGCATGTTCAGGGGGACACTTCGCCCACGATTGCGACGAATGCTCTCGGTTCACCAGTTGCCACATCCACTGTATCGACTTTGTGTTGGCCTTACCCAGGCCGCATCCATGGTTGGCAGTGCAGGCCACACCCATGATTGCGAATGTTGGTTTCGCATCTTGTCCGGCCACGTCAATGTTTCCGACCGTTGCTCTCGCTCCAGTGACGGCCACATCCGTCATTGCGAGCGTCACTCTCGCCTCAGCGCCAGCCATATCCACTACTACGACGGCTGTTGTCGCCGGAGCGCCAGCCTTATCCATGATTGCGAAGGTTGCTCTCGCCTCAGCGCTGGCCACATCCACGATTGCTTGCGAGTCTTGCTGTCGACTTGGCGCTGGCAACATCCACGATTGCGAATGTTGCGGTCGCTTCAGCGCCGGCCACATTCACGATTTCGAGAGTTGTTCTCGCCTTAGCGCTGGCCGCATCCATGATTGCAAATGTTGTTGTCGCTTCACCGCCGGCCACACCCGCGATTACGAAAATTACTCGCGCCTTAGCGCCAGCCGCATTCACGATTGCGAAAGTTGCTCTCGCCATAGCGCTGGCCACATCCATGATTGAGACTCTTGCTTTCGCAACATCGCCAGCCACATAAATTCGTTTACGGTTGAAGTGTGGGCAAAGAGGGGCGAGCGCTCGTTGGCCGCATTCGATTGCACGGCAGCTGTTCTGGCTTATAGCGAGGCCCTCAGGAGGGCATGCTTCCTGGGGGCTCGCGCGCTCGCCGCGCTGCAGGCCGAGCGGCTTCGAATCTGCGGCTGGTGCGAGGGGCGGCTCGCCCCCGGCGCGAGCTTCGCCTTGGCGGAGGCTGGCGGGGTGCTGGAGTTGTGCGAGCTGTGTGCTACTTGCTCGCGCTCGCCAGGCAGGCGGCGCGCGAAGCACGGCTGGCGCCGCGCGAGCGGGCGCTGCTGCTAGAGCAGGCTCGCCACCTCGGAGCGCAGCTCGCCTCGAGCCCGATGCCTCCCAAGGCGAAGGGCAACGATAAGGCCAAGGGCGAGGCCAAAGCCAAGGCGGCCCCTGGCGGAGGCGGTCGCGGCCGCGGGCGGGGCGCTGCAGTCGTTCACCGACGTGCACGTGGGCGCGCTGGAGCTGGGGCTGCTGGCGGAGGCGGAGGTCCTGCGCCAGGCGGGGCCGACGTCTTTGGCGGAACCGCAGGCCCCCCGCTTGGCAAGCGGCGGGGGCCCCCGTGGTGCCAGGGCTCGGCGCCCTGCCTGGGCCCCCTAGCGGTCTCGACGGCGTCAGAGGCGGCGCGCCGCCTGCTCTGCCTGGCGGCGCTGGCGCGGTGGGCGCTGGCGGCGTCGGCGTTGGGGCCGCGCTGGTGGGCGCGCTCGCTGCGCGCGGCGGCGCAGCTGCTGGTGGCGCGAGGGCCCCGCCTGCTGCTGCAGCCCTCGGTGCCGGGGTGCCCCTCGGAGTGCTTGGGCGCGCTGCCATCCCAGCGGCCGGAGTGCAGCTGGACGCGCTGGCAGACGGCGCCTGGACGCAGGCATCGGTGCTGGTGGGGGCTTGGCTGGGCCCAGGGCATGAACGCGGAGCTGCCGACGCACGACGCCCTGGGAGGCATCAGCGGCACAGCCCCGTTCGAGGTGGGCGAGGTCAGCGCGCCTGGCGCCGCGGGCCAGTACCTGACCGCCGAGTTCCGGGGGGCGTCGCTGCTGGCCGAGGCGATGCGCCTCGACGGTGCCTTCCCGCCTCGTGGAGCTGGGCCCGCGGGCTTGCTGCACCTCTGCGCGCAAGGCCCTGCTGCGTTGGGTGCGGCCGAGCGCCTTCGGAGGCCGCGGCGGCGGCGGGGCTCGACAGGCCGTGGGGCCCATCCCTGGTGGTGCCGCGCGTGTGCGCCTGGCGGCCGCGGCTGCTCGAGCCCTCGCAGGAGGTGGAGCTCGCGGCCGCGGCGTCGGCGGCCACGGCAGGCGGCGGCAGCGCAGCGAGTCAGGTAGCCGCAGTGATGGCGACGGCGAGCCGCATTTTCGCGACGCCCCCTCCCGCGGCGGCAGCGTGAGGCTGCTGGCGGAGAGGCAGCCCGGCGCCCTACGACGAGGCGATGCAGAGCATCGCTCGCGTGATGGGCCTGCGGGAGGGGGCGGGCGGTACCGAGACGCGTCCGAAGGTGGTTGGCTGCTTGCAGGCGATCGTCTTCGGCCACCACCCAGTCTCGCTGCTGCGGGTCAACACGGTGCGCGAGCTGCAGACGCTGGCAATGGCGCTGGACCTACTGGAGAGCGGATCGCTGCCGCTGGTGTGCGACGTCTTGATGCAGAGGTTCAAGGCGCTGGAGCTCTCATTGTCTGATGCGAGCTGGCAGTTTGCGAGCGAGCTGGAGATCGTGCCCGACGCCAGACCGCCCCTCGCCTCGATGGGCGAGCAGGACCTGGCGTGCCGCTCGGCGGCGCTGCGGAGGCGGCTGCAGGACGCCGCCAGGAGCCGCGGGGCCTTCGGGAGCCCAGGCCGCGGTGGCGGGAGGGCGTGACCCGCGGAAAGGGCGCGGGAGGGCTCGAGAGCATGCTCGCCCTCCCCGCGCGCCCCGCAGGGCACGAGGCAGCCTGCTTCCAGGCGGGAGAAGGGGCGCGGCCGCGGGAGGGGTCGCTTCTTTCCTCCGCGCGCGGCCAGCCCCGCTCGCCCCCCGAGCGCCCCCGCAGCGGCAGCCGAGGCCGAGGGCCCGCCCGCCGCGGCGCCCTCCGGCAGCCTCGCCCGCGCCCTTCCGCCGAGCGGGCCGCGGGCGCCCCGCGGCGACAGCCCTCGCCCGAGGCGAGCGGTGCTGGCGAGCAGCCCCGAGCGGAGAGAGTTCAGGCAGGAGCAGCCCGCGACGGCGGTGGCGCGGCCTCAGGAGGCCGCGCGCGGTCGCGGTCGCCGCCGCGGGGGCAGGGGGCGCAACTCGGGCAGGACCAACGGTTCACGCCCACGCCCCCCTGGCGGAGGCGGCGCTGCCGAGAGGGGAGTTGCGAGGTGATGCCAATCGTCGATGGTGCCCGTGCTCATGATGCGCGGATGGGCGCGGACAGTTCTCTGCGGGCCGCCTCTGCTCGCATGCCGCCTTGGGCTTCTCCGTCGCGATCCCTACTGCCCCGCCGTGCTCAACCTCGTCTGCCTCGCGCGCCCGCCGCTGCTAATGATGGCGCTGCTGCTGCTGCTTGTGACTCCCTGGCCGACTGACGTGATCTGACAGGGGCTGTTGGAATCTGCTCCGAGAGCCCTATGACGTGGGCCCGATACTTCTCAACCTGTTCAGGAGCTTCCCTGGCTCGCTTGGTCGCTATGCCCGCGACTCCCTGGATCTACAGCTGCGCGAGCACATGGCCACCAAGGGAGGTCGGCTGCAACGTGGCTTGATGCCGTCACCGCGCCCTACCGTTGTCATGTCCGATGTCGTGCGCGACGGCGAGGACCTCAGCGACGAGAGCTGGGGGGCGCTCCACTGTGGGCTGGTCGTTGCGGTGCTGGCGCTGAACTGGGAGGCGGGCTCCCGCTCGCTTTAAGTTCGCTCGATGCTGCCACGGGCGTGCTAATGCAGCCCAGCGGGCCCCCTTGATCGGCCTGGCGCGGCGGCTCTTCTTGACCGCCCGCGTCGAGACCAGCCTGCCTAGGGGCCCGGACTGGGAGAGCCGCCTCAAGGATCGCAAGATCGGCAACGGTGGCTCCGAGATCACGACACCTTACAAACTCACGCTGGAACAGGCGCCAGACGGCCTGCCGCCGCCTGGCGTCGCGGCCTCCATCGAGGCGGCCGATCTTGCGACGGGCTTCGTGCGCGATGCTTTGCTGAACCCGTCGCTCATGTTGCTGCTGCCTGCGCTCCGTCGCGCGGCGCCCACCTCCGCTCGGGCTTGGGATTGCGATTCCGAGCGGCGTCGCATTGTGGAGGCCTTGCATGTGCGCGGGATGATCGGTCCCATCGCCTCGAGCGAGATCGCCTGTCGCGACGGAGCTCCGTTGTTGAACGGCGCCTTCGGTGTCCCGGTGGCTCGCGACGCCCCCGTCAAGTGCAGCGGCGGGTGGCTGCGGCCGGTCCTGAGGCCGATCACGAACCTGATCCCTACGAACGCGCGCCAGGAGTGCATCGTGGGAGACGCGCCCGAGATGCCGACGATGCGTCAGCTGAACGGCCTGGTGCTTGCCGAGTCGGAGGACCTGTTGTGGGGCGGTGCTGACAGTAAAGCCTTCTTCTACGTCTTCAGGGCGCCGCCGCCGCGGCGGCCGCACACGGTGATCGGCCCCCCCGTGCCGCCCCGGCTGCTGGGCCTCAAGGGCGGCGGCACCACCCGCATCTGCTTGCGCGTTATCGGCACGGGGTGGATCAGCGCGGCGGGAGCGACTACCCATCTTCACCGCGACATGCTTCGGCGCAGCGGCAGCGTGCCTCGCGGCCTCAGCCCGAGCTGCGAGGTCACGCGTCGGCGGCGGTTGCCGCTGGGGGTGGAGAAGCCTTGCCCCCCGGCCTGGATGGTCTACATTGACAACCTGGAGATCGCCGAGATCCTCGACTAAGCGGAGCCCGAGAAGCTGCGCGGGACGGCGCCTGCCCTTCTGACTGACGCTAGGGCCTGCTACGAGGCGGCAGGCTCGCCTGGGCCCCCTCGCAAGGACCTCCACCGCGCGGTGCGCGCGACCGCCCTGGGGGAGCTGATCGACGGCGTCGAGGGCGTCCGCCGCCCCCCCGCGGGCTACATTATTGAGATGGTCAGCCTTGCCTTTGTGCCCTGGGGAAGAGGCGCGCCAGCATGCGGCTGATGCGCATCCTGCTTGGCCGACGGGTGCGCGTTCATTGGTTCCGCCGCCCTCTGGCCGCCAGCTTCGCCTATGCTTGGCGATGGCTTGGCGACTCGCGCAGCGGAGGCCGCTTCAGCGTCGACGTCGTCGAGGACCCGCTGATGTGCCTGGCGCTTTCTGCTCTGTGCGCGGCGGACATGCGGCTCGAAGTCGACCACCTGGCGACGGCGTCTGCGTCGGAGGCTGCGGGCGCGGTGGTCTACAGCACGGTCCTCTCGGACCGCGGCCGCGCGCTTGTTGCCCGGTGCCAGCGGCCTGTCAACGCTGCCTGCGAGGAGGAGGCGTCGCTGGTCACCCTCTTCGACGGGATCGGGGGCGGACGCAGGGCTTTGAGATCCTCGGCCTGGTGCCCGCGGTCCACCTGCCGTTCGAGGTTGACGCCCAGGCCGTGCGCGTGTCGCGCCGCTGCTACCCTGGGACCCAGCACCTTGGGGACGTGACGGAGGCCGACCCCGCCGCCCTGGCGGGCCTCTTGCGGGCCCGAGGTCGGGCCACCCGCGCGCTGGTAATGGGCGGCTTCCCGTTCTAGATCTACATGAGTTTTAATGTGGGCCGCTGAGGTGCTGCCGGCCCGCGCGCCTCGCTGGTCGGTCACGTGATCAGGGTCATCCAGGGGCCGCGGGTGGCCATGCCTGAAACCACGGTTGATTTCCTCGGCGAGAACGCGGCCTCGATGGCCGAATCTGACGCACTTCATCTCAACGGGCTCTTCGAGCGGATCCCCCTGGAGGTCGAGGCCGGCGACGTCGGCTGGGTCAAGCGACCGCGCCTGTACTGGGCGTCCTGGGACTTGCTGCCTTCTTTTGAGTTTAAGGCGATCATGGTGATGGCGAAGAGCTCGGCGGGGCGCCGCGCTTGCCGCGTGGCGCTGCAGGCTGAGCGGCCGCCGCTGGAGGAGTGGCTGCCTGCTGGTGCGAGCTGCCCTGGGGCCGCTGCGGGGGAGCCGCTGCCTGCGCTTGTTCGATGGACGCCGCGCTCGCAACCGCGCCCCAGGCCTGCAGGCGTCGGGGAGTGCGCGGATGCTGAGCTGGCGCGCTGGGAGGAGGCGGGCTTTGCTGCCCCGCCCTACCAGTTCCGTAACAAGCGGTGCATTCACGAGGCCGGTGGCCGCGTGGCGCCGCTTGACGCGGTCGCGCGCGAGAAGCTCATGGGCCTCGCCGAGGGCCGCGCTGCCCCGTGCATGACCAGTGCGGAGGCGAAGGCCAGCCCAACCAAGCACGAGGCGCTGCGGCGATCCTTGGCGGGGAACTCGTTCCAGTGCGAGGTGGTAGCCTGGCTGCTTAGGCACTTGGCCGTGGGTGCGGGGCTGTTGGTCTCCGCGCCGTCGGTGGCCGAGCTGCACTCCAGCGCGCGCGCCTGGGCCGGGGGCCGCAAGCTGTGGGCTGGCGACCTCGCCTCGCTGCGCTGCGGACGCGTGGAGCTCGACGAGCAGGTCTCCCGCGAGCTGGAGGCACCAGCTGCGGGGCGCGCCGGCCCGGGGACGCCAGCGGTGGTTTACGTCGGCCGTGGCTCGCGACGCCGGAGCTTGGAGCCTCCCTGCTGGGCGCAATCCCTCTGCCATCAGGCCGAGCTGCTCGCGAGAGGACGCGGCGGCGCTATTCGCGGGCTGGCTGCGGGGACAGCCGCAGCTACTGGGTCGCCTGGAGGACCTGCGGGGGGCTACCCTTGCGTGCCACTGCGAACAGGCAGTGCCCTGCCACGCGGACGTGCTGCTTGCCGAGCTGGCCAAGCGTGATGCGACTTCTTGTAGAGACTCAGAGTTCTCGCGGAGGCTGGCCATGAATCTTGCACAGCAATGACGCAGACATGCGTGCAGACGGGGGCTCTGAGGAGCTCGCTGAGATATTCCCTCGGCAGGGGACTGACGCAGGCATTTGGCAATGGCGTAAAGCTCGACAGCTGGTTTGGGACGTTCCAGAGCACACCAATGTCTTGGAGTGCCAGGGCGCCCTCATGATGATTCGATGGCGTGCTCGTTTTCTGGGGCGTCAACAGCGTGTCTTCTTACACCTACTCGACAGCATGGTCAACATCGGTGCTCTCTTCAAGCGCCGCTCCAGCAGCAGTCAGCTCAAGGGGGTGGTGCGCAGTTTCTCTGCTTGGGAACTGGCGATGGGCGCGCGGGCAGTGCTCGGCTTCATTTCTTCAGCCAGGAACCCCGCAGACACCCCGTCGCGCCTGGGGGATGGGGAAGCGGAGTAGCCTCTCCGATCGGCGCGCCGCCACAGCTGGACTGGGGAAGCTGGGTGACGCTCGAATCGGTGCCGCGACACTTGCGAGATATCGTCGGGCCGCCCAGCAGTTTGTTGACGACCTGAATGCCATGAACTTGCAGCTGCCGGTGACATGGGAAGACATGGGTATCATTCTCCAAGATCGCCTCGAGTATATTTGTGCGAGGGTGCCACCAAAGGTCAAGTTAACGATACACTCAGTGTGATCCAACATGTTGAGAAAGCGGCGTCAGTACCCTGGCGCGTGGCGATTGCTGTCAGTCTGGGGCCGCCTGGAGGTGCCCCGACGTCCGCCGCCGCCGCCGCCCTTGGTTTGCTGTGCGCTGGCCGGCCGGGCGCCGGGGCGCGGAGAGGTCGCGTTCGCGGCAGCGGTGCTAGCGGGCTTCCACCTGCGCCTTCGGACAGGCGTAGCCTTCGGCCTCTCCAGCGGCGTCGTCCAGTTGAAGCCTTGCGGCCGTGGCGCCGCGTCGCCACCCTGGACAGAGACTGCCTGTTAGAAGGGCGCTCGCGAGACGGTGACGCTGAACGATCCGCTCGCGGGAGCGGTCGTCCACATGCAGTTGCAGCGCGATGGCCGACTCTGGCCCGCCTCGTCTCGCGCTTTTCATTCAGCGTTTCGCACTGGCCTGCAGCAGATTGGTCGCAAGCATCTCTCCCTCTTCCCCTGCAGTCTTCGAAGGGGCGGGGCAACCCGCGAGCATCTGCAGTCTGGGGACTTGTCTGAGGTCATGCTCAGAGGCCGCTGGAGCTCTCAGAGGACGGCAAAGATTTACATCCAGGATGGGGCCGCAATTTGAGCTGAATGCGGTTCCAGCCGAGTACCCGATCCTCGCTCCAGACGTTCTCAGACACTTTAGTCGCCCGTCTCAGGGCGTGCTGCGAATATTTTTGGGCGGCTTTCAGCCATCTTGTGGAACGCAGTGGAGAGCTGTTGCGGGAACCTGGCGCTCTTGGGAGTGGAGAGCTTCTCGGTCTCATTGGCACAGTTCGGTGCGAGTCTCTTCCCCCCCCCCCTTTGGGCCCCGCAGCGTTCTGACCCCGGCCGCTGGACGACGGTGGTGCGCTCAAGGTGCGATTCCTGCCGTGACCTGGGGGGTGAGTTCTGAGACTCGCACGTGCTGGTGCCGTCGTTTCCGAGGGATCCTAAGCACTGCCAACAGCTTTGGCCAACAGGGAGTATAACTAAAGCTTAAATCCCGAAGAGCTTATGCTCCTAACCCCGCCCACACACATAAATACGTTTACGGTTGATGTGTGGGCAAAGGGGGGCGAGCGTTCGTTGGCCGCAGTCGATTGCACGGCAGCTGTTCTGGCCCTCCCACTTGCCGCCCTGTTTTGTGCCGTGCGCCAATGGCATCTCTCGAGTCTGTTTCTGTGTGAAGACTCGCGTGAGCTAGGAGAGCTTCTCGGTCTTCTGGGCACAGTTCGGTGCGAGTCTCCTCCTCCGTTGGGCCCCGCAGCGTTCTGACCCCGGTCGCTTGACGACGGTGGTGCGCTCAAGGTGCGATTCCTGCCGTGGCCTGGGTGTGAGTTCTGAGACTCGCACGTGCTGGTGCCGTCGTTTCCGAGGGATCCTAAGCTCTGTCAACAGCTTTGGCCAACAGGGAGTATATTTCAAGCTTAATTCCCGAAGAACTTATGCTCCTCACCCCGCCCGCACACACATACATGATTGCGAAAGCTACTCTCGTTCCAGCGCCGGCCAGATCTTTCATTGGAAACGAAGAGGGACGAGCGATGCAGTTTGACACTGTTGCAATGCATGTTGCTGTGTCGCTCCATTATGGTGCATCATTTGCCACGCCGCGCGCGTGACACTGGTGTCACCGAGCAGTTGGCCACGTTAACTTTACTGGGTCAGGCTAGCTTTGGCGCAGTGCCGACAGGGCCTGGGTCAGGTTAGGGTAGGGATTGGCTATGTCAGGGGGATTGTGGCTCCAAAGTGGAATCTGTTGGGAGCACCGCGGTGCCCCGCAGGGCGCGGGGTCTCTCTGAGAGTGCCTCCTTTGGGGGTTGAGGGCGAGGGCCAGACGTTGCAGACGCTGGATGCGGCAGGGGTGTTTGAGCTTGCTGGATGGGCCCCGGGGAAATCTGTCAAGATGGGGGCAAATCCGTTCGAGATCGGTCCCCAAACCCCTCCCAGGGTCCACATGGCGCAGTTGTTCGCCCCGGATCTGTTTGTGACGGCCAGTGGTCCCTGGAGGCCGAAGAATGCAAAACACATTTAGAATCCAGAACCTCGAACCTCGCCCGCTCCCCATGGGGCCGCGAAACATGTAAGAGGTGTGCCGAATCGGGCGTGGGCACGCCATGCGAGCGCGACCGCTGGGGCCTTCGGTGGAGTTCGCTGTGGGGCTACGAAGCAGAGGAGGAGGGAGGAAGAGGAGAAGGAGGAAGGAGGGCGGAAGAGAAGGAGAAGGAGGAGGGGAAGATGAGGAGGAGGAGGAAGAGGAGGAGGAAGGAGGGAGGAGGAGGACGCAGGGCGCTGTCTCTTCAAAACGGCGGCCCAATACCTCACGATGTCTGGGAAGCGTGGAAAGGGATGCCGTACGATCAGACGAAGGGCTCGGATCTTCTGGGAAACGATGCTATCAGAGCAGAGGTGTCATACTTGTTTTCGTTGCCTGAATCTACGCGCGCAGGACAGATGGAACTGCTCACCGCGACACGGCGGTCACGACCTTTTTTCGTGTTGTGTTCCTGTCAGTTTGCGATTGCGGCTGCAGAGGTTGGATAGACGCTGAGGCAGCCAGATACTGAACATTCCATGTGCACGCCGTGCTACGTCCACCCCCCAACCCGAAATTCAGATCTTCGGATTGGGTTGGGTTGGTCTGATAGATCGTCAGAGCGGGGGAGGAACGGGAGGAGGAGGAGGAGGAGGAGGAGGAAGTGGAGAAAGGGGGAGGAGGAGAAGGAGGAGGAGGAGGAGGAAAAGGAGGATTAGGAGGAGGAGGAGGAAGAAAGCGAGGAGGAGGTGGAGGAGGAGGAGGAGGGTCCGTAGCCATTTTGGTTTGGCTCAAGCGACTTGCTCCTGAACTGCCCAACCTTTGCTCGAGGAGCCAAGTGTGCAGTGCGGGGGGCCTCGGCCCAGCCCCTTCGGTCGGCGCGCGGGGGCGCGCGACGCCAGCGCATGTTCATCGGGTCGGGAGCTGGTGCTGTGGAGCGTTCGGGTGCAAAGCTAACACGTACTGGTGGAAGTGGTGTCAGCACTGCGGGCGCTGGTGGTCAGGCCCGGGGGATGCACAAGTCGTCCAGAAAGGGTGTCCGCGGGGTGTGGGGTGACCGTCCGTCTGCTCCTCCTGGCTATGGGTCTTTTGTACTTGCTCTGGGGTCCTGGCAGACCTATTCACACAGCCCCGCCTCGGGAACTCAGGGGAGTACCCAGGAAGCGAAGCGATCCAGTTTGTCATCCAGCTTCCCGATGCCAATTTAGACTGCGAGGCAGCCAACAAGTGTAAGAAGAAGCATCGGGGCCTCAAGTCCCCGCCCAAGTTGAAGTGGGGGCCCGTGAAGCACGACATGGAACGGTGCCAGGCGGCCCTGGATCGTGCAGTGTTTCGTGCCGACAACCTCCAGGAGCAGCTGGACCAGGTTAAAACAGTACAGTATCACGGCGTTCCAGGCCTTGGAAGCAGCGAAAGAGCGGTATGCAGTGGCACCGCGGGAGGTTGCGTCCGCAGTCCAGCGCCCAGCCCCCTTCAGCAGCCCCAGCCCACCCACGTCGATAAGCCCGTGCTGAGCCAGGAGAAATTCATGGACGGAGGTCTTGAGGGGCTTCAGTCGGATGATGGCGGCCTGTTTGATTTGGAGGAGGTGGGATGGGAGCCGTCGCTTGGGGAGAAGGAGGAGGCGCAGAGGAGGAAAGAGTCCCTGGTCTCCACGTTCCAGGCAGCTGCTGCCCACGCTTTCGGCTCATTCCGTGAGCAAGCTAAAGTAAGCATAATAAGCTTAGTACCAGGTTGGCGGCCAAACAACGACGTACGGAAGAGGAGGCGACAGCTGAGGACGATGCTCGTTCTGGGCTTGACGGTTCTAACGCTAGTCAGCCTCATCAGCAGCAGCAGCCTCCAGCCGCAGCAGCAGCCTCTCCCGAGCTAGCAGCAGCAGCAAGCGTTCCCGACCTAGGCCCTCCTCCGAACTCCACCAGGGACCTCTTTCAGGCTGCCTGCGCGGTGGCTTCGAAGGGCTCGAAGTGCGAGGGGAGAGTGCAAGGAGGAGGAGCAGCTGGGGCAGCTGGTGGAGGCGGGTGAGCGGCGGCAGCGGCGGCAGCAGGAGCGGCCGCGGCAAGGGCTGATGCAGGCGCAGGAGGCGGGAGAGGAGCGCGCGCCTCGCCGTCGCGAGGGCGACGGCACTTCAGCCGCCGCGACAGGCGATGAGCCCGAGGTTGATGTTGTGACGATCGTTTCCGCGAACACCTCGGACTGGCGCAGTTGCCAAGGATTCATGGGGGAGGAGGCCCCAGAGATTCATGGAAAAGGAGGTTGGAGTGTCCCCCTTCAGGCAAGGATGAATGTGAAGCTAAACTGAGAGGTTGGGCATGGACGACCATGTTCAGCCCGAGTAGGCACGCTGGGACTGGGGGGTTGTCGTCGGGAGTTGGCGTTGCAGTACCGGACTGTCGCTGCCACCTTGGAAGGGCCAGCCGCTGCCGTCGGCCCCCCGAGCTGCCGCGGCATTGATCAGCAGTGTTGCGCCAGGGGGCTGTTTAGCAGTATCTGCCCATCTTTCCGACGGGGGGCCCGTTTGGAAATATTGGATCGCAATGTGTGTTCGACCCGGTGAAATGCTCCACCCAATTTGCTTGCCATCCATCGTGGGCGGAGGTCGTAACCGCCCGCCCGCTCAGCTCCGACAGCCCGGCTGGGCAGGGAAGGCGGGGGGTCGCGTTGCAGCCGCTGGCGAGGCCGCGTGCAGGAAGGGCAAGACTCGGAGGGAGCTGGTTTATTGTGTTGCATCGTCAGGGCTGGCGCCGTCGGTGGAAGCATCCCAAGCGGTCGAAGACACGCCGACCGCGCCAAAGCATCTTGTTGCCGTCAAGTTGAAATGACGCCTCGCCCGCGCGGAGTACCTGGCTCTCCCTGGGGCCCGCAAGTTCCCCAGCGAGCTCCCTCAGCGCCCATTGCCTGCCCCGCCTGATTGGGGGCGCGGCGAGGGTGCCGTCTTGCAGCGGGGGGCTGATCCAGCGGGGCGCGGGCGGGAGGAGCTCGACAGGGTTCGCCGCCGTTTTCGCGAACTTGTCGGGGCTGAGTTGATTGCCGCTCGTAGGCCCCGACGGGCTGGATGGGGGGGGGGTATCGAGGCCGCGGGGGCGGCTGGGGGCTGAGAGAGTGCCAGAGGTGCAGCCTCTGGCGGACCCTATGCGCCGTCTTGCGTCAAGGCCAGGAGATGGCGCAGAGTCCCGATTCGTTTCCTGGAGCTTTCCCACGTTTGTTCGTCGTGCTGAGGGGGGTGTTTCCGCAGCGCATCATGGGATTTGCTGGTCGCGTCAGTGCCCGAACTTCGAAGGCGTCTCGGCTCTTTCAGCAGACAAGTTGGCTGGGTACTCTAGTGAAGCTGCCGGCGTCGCCTCGTTGCTGGAGCAGGCCTTCGTGGGGGGCCAGAGGAGCGGCGCGGAAGAAGCGGGCGTGCGATGCATGCGGCAATGGGGGCTGGCACAGCACGCCGCATCACCAGGTCACCTGCTGAGTGGGGGTCCCAGCTGGAGGCCCCGATGGGGCTCCGATGGGGTCGGCAGCTCAGGTTTTTGCATCGCAACAGGAGCGGGGCCAGAACTGGGAAGCGCCCGCGCCCGCAGAGGATGCAGCTGGCCCTTGCGGCGGCGCGGATGACCCTGTCGGCGCCATCTCCGACCGGCTCAGGGTGGAAGGCATCGATGTCAAGGATGCCGCGAGCATCCGGCCCGTCGAGGCTGACGTTATTCGACGCGTTGATCTGATTTTCAAACCTGGAGCAGCCGTGGGCGCGGACAAGTCGAGCCCGCGGGACTTGTGCTGGCCACGAGACAGGTGTCTCACGGTGCTCGGCTTGCTTTGGCATTGGATGTTGGACGCGGGCCAGTTGCCGCCTCGCGTATTTTAGATCAGTGTTGCCACGTTTAAAGCCCGAAGGGGTTTTCAGACCCATCGGAATCTTGCGTGAATTCGTGCGCGCATGGGGAAGCCGCGCGCGCTCGGTTGCCAGGGATTGGGAGAATTCGAACAAGCGCGTCTTCTTTCATCGTTGCATTGGGACGCCGCGCGGACGCGGAGTCTGGGGGAATTCCTCCACGGCAGAACGCCCTCGTCGCACCAACTTTTGTTATGGGGGGGGGCAGGTCGATCCACCCAAGGCCCACGAGCGCGCGATGCGCGGGCGCTTGATTGATGCGGCGCGTGCATGCAGGTTCCCGCCGGATTCCTCGCGCCTCCTGGCCCGTGTGCATCGCATTCCTCGGCTCCTAGTTGTCGGGGGAATGGCGCCGCTGCCTGTCATGGCGTTGTGGGCGATCGTGGCAGGTTGTGTAGTAGCGACCACGCTCCTCAAGATGCTGTTGATAAGTGCCTCGGATTGTGTGGTGCGTCGGAATCCATATGCGCACGTGTGCAACGTGGCGGGCGACGTTACTTTGAGTGAGAATTGCAGTGCCAAGTTTTTGTCCATGCATCTGCCCACGGTCGCGCGGTTCACTTGCAGCAATCCGGAGGAACTGTGCTTGATCCATGCCCGAGCCATGGGGAAAATCGTCTCCACTCACCAGTCTATGGTTCGGAAAGCCGTCCAGGACCTGAGGAAGCGAGGGTTCGCTGGGACCTCGGTTGCGAGACGCCCGGGAATGGATTCCCCCGTGGGAGCCCGACCCAGGGGACTAGAGTTGCCGAGATCAGTGGACGAGCCCATCGGTTCAGAGGGCCCCGTTCGCCCTTTGCCAGGTTGACCAGGATTGTCTGAGCAGGGGCCAGCCCTGCAGGACTGCACGGGGCCTCGGTCGCGGGGGCGTCGGGTCGCATCCCCGAGCAGTTGCGAGCCGCGGCGGGGGGGCCAGTCCTTGGGTGCGCCGCGATTTCGGCGCCTCGGGCAAAGGCCTGGGCGCCTCTCTCCTCGTCGCAGTGGCGTCGGGAGGCATGGCGGCCCAGGTCGACCTGCGCCTGGGTCGGAACTCGATCTCGCCTGAGTGCAAGTCTCGTGGGCATCCCTGGGGGGCCAAGCTGCATGGACGTCGCAGCTCCCCTGCGACCCGGAGCTTCGGCAGCTCGTGGGTTCGATCGCCTGGTTCGAGCTGGCACGCGAGCTGTCGCGGCCAAGTGTCGGTTGTTTTGCTCCACGCGTCTGCTCGTCTCTCCGGTTCGGCTTTCTGTTGGCCCTTGTGTGCAGGAGGCCTGGGGGCGGCATGAGCGTCCGTGCTCTGGCCAGCTCGTGGAGGTGATCTGCCTGGACGGATCCGTTCTCGACCCCGCCCGCCCCTGGCGCCCTCGAACTGGATGGTTCGCAATCGCCCGTAGGACTGGCCACATCCTACGAAGTATGTACGGCCCCTTCCCGCGCCCCATCCAGTCCAGTTTGGGGGAAAACTGTGGGCCCTGTGCATGGCCCTGCTCCACGCGGATGCGGGGGCCGTCGAGATTTGGACTGGTTGTAAAGTGTTGTTGGACGTTTGGGGCTTTGGCCCAGGTCAGGATGTTTCGAGTCTGTCGTTCGCACAGGTCTGGGGGAAGGTCTTGACCAAAGCTCGTGGCACCGGCTGGAGTTCGATCCAGTTGTTTATGATTAAGGCTTTCTTGTCCCGGATTCAGGCTAGTGGACAGGGCTGCCCCATCCACGCGTGGCGGGGCAACCAGGAGGCCGACCGTCTTGCGAAGGAGAGGGCCCAGTTGCAGGAGCAGGAAGATGTTTTGCGCAGATGGTACGGATCTGCGAGCGCAGGCATCAGGCAGGTAGGTAAGGTTCTCGGATTGATGTTGGGGGCGTTGTCCCGTCGAGGTCTCAAGGATGTAGAGCGGTGAAAAGGCAAGGCCCAACCCCTCGGGCCCTTCGAAGACACCCCCCAGCTCGAAGTAGTTGCAGAACTCAACGGGCACACGATCTGTAGGAACGGTAATGCGCATGTTTGTGATGTGTGCGGGGAGCGAGCGAGGTCCAGAGGAGGCCTGACCGCGTTCCCCTTCCTTTGTATCCCCAAGATCGCCGCCTCCCACGTGCTCTGGCTGGGCTCTGGTTCCTCGGGTCGGTCTGTGTGGTGTCGGAAATGCACGGCGCTCGGGGTTGCCAGGTCCCGATTCCTGAAGGAGCGCTGCATTGAGAGGCCTCGGAATACGGCGACTGAGAAGAGCTCGTCGATGCTCGTGGCTAGTCAAGACCCCAGCTCGAGGTGCCATTTCGGTTGCAGCAGTCGAGTCAGGATCGAAGGATCGTCATTTGTTTTATGCTATTTCGGCTCCTCGCTCCTTGGATGAGGGAGACTGCGGCTGCGTTCAACTGTTTCAACAGAAGGAGGAGGAGGAGGAGGAGGAGGAGGAGGAGGAGGAGGAGGAGGAGGAAGAGTAGGAGGAATGAAGGAGGAGGATGAGAAGAAACACGCCAGGACAATGAGGACGAGGACGAGGATTATGATGAGGATGAGGATGAGGATGACGATTGGGATGAGGATGATGATGATGATGATGATGATGATGATGATGATGATGATGATGATGATGATGATGATGATGATGATGATGCAAATGCTGATGCTGCTGATGAGGATGAGGATACGAATGAGGATGGTGAGGATGAGGATGATGATGCTGATGCTGATGCTGATGCTGATGCTGATGATGCTGCTGCTGATGATGATGATGATGATGATGATGGTGGTGGTGGTGGTGATGATGATGATGATGATGATGATGATGATGATGATGATGATGATGATGAGAAGGAGGGGGAGGAGGAGGGGGAGGAGGAGGAGGAGGAGGCGGAGGGAGACAGGGGGAGGCGGAGGAGGCGGAGGGAGAGGAGGAGGAGTAGATTGATGGGCTGGGAGTGGAGGTGCCGCAGGCCATCGGCGCGCACAGCGGGGATGACGCGAGATGGCCGGCCGGCTAGCAAAGGGGGGGAGGGTTGAGCAGGCGGGGGATTTTGACGCTCGCATGGCTTCTAAGAAGCATCTGATGCGCGGCCAGGTTTCCATGACCACCACTGCCACGGGTGGGACGGGGGAGAAGGAAGGAGGGGAGATCCTCCTCCTCCTCCTTCTCCTCCCCCTCGTCATCATTCTTTTCCTCCTCCTCCTCCTCTCCCTCCTACTTCTGGTAGTGGCGGTGGTGGAAAACCGGCCATCATCTTAGAGGCCTCCAGGCCCAAGTAAGAAGGCCCCCGCCATCTTGAACCCCCCCCCGCCTTCTTAGAAGACCGCCACCCGCCACCCTTGTGCTCGCTGCCAACCTGCGGCGGGGAAGGGGGGGATGGAGATCTCACAGCCCACAATCGCTCCGGCCTCTGGGTGCCCCGTGGTGGGCCGCGGGGCCACCTCGGGCGAAGAGCATACTTGGCCGAGGTGTAGAATCGGGCCGGACGAAAGGGGGGGATTGGGAGAGGGGGGGTTACGAAATTTGCTGCATGCAGCTGGATTCGGCCGCACCGAGGGGCCCATTCCTCGATGCATAGCCGCCTCTCCGGCGCCGGGAGGCGCAGGGAAAATCAGCTACGTGAGCTGATTCTCAACCCTCCCCTTTGCTATCCCCCCTTTCGCCCGATCCGATAAAACTACGTCTCCCCATTGGCGGGGATCGGTTGTGTGTGTGGTTGTGTGTGTGTGCGTGTGTGTGTGTGTGTATGTGTGTGTGTGCGTTTGCGTGTGTGTGTGTGTGTGTGTGTGCACAGCTCCCTGTCTTCATCTCTTCAAGCAGCCTGTAGGGACCACCGCGCGCGCCGCCGAGCAGGTCCAGCTCCTCCCGTCCCTCTCCGAGGACACCCTGCCGGCGGACCAGCTGCGGCCGGTCACCGCCTCCGCGTTCGAGGGCGGGGATCCCGCCAGTTCTGCGGGGGAGGAAGACGCTTCCTCTCTTCTCACCACCGTCGGAGCCATCTCCGGCCCCCGCGGGGACAGGGTCAGGGCAGCTCTCCCAGCGTGCCCCCTTTAGGTAGGGATGGGCGCCGCGCATCCCGGAGGAGACGGCAACCATCTCCACCCAGGCGTTGTCGGGCGGCCGGCGGGGCCAAGGTGCCCCCCACGTGGGGGTGGGGATGGCGTTCACGTGCAGATCCTGCCTGTCCTCCCCGTCCTCCCCGTCCCCCTCCTCCCCCTCCCCCATCTTCTGAGCTGGTGAGACGCAGTCATGCGTGCACAGCTTCGCTGGAGGGAGCAAGAAGGGGAACCACTCCATTCGGGGGTGGTTGCTGAGGCGTTCGCTCAGGACAGAAGGCTGTTGAAGCCGTCGGCCGCGTGGCCTTGCACCCTGACCCAATAATCCTTATTCTCCCCCCAACTTCTCGCCCCTCTTCCTCCCTCCTCCCCCCTCCTCCTCATCCCCCTCCTCTCCTCCCTCTCCTCCTGCCGCTCCCCCTCTCCTCCTGCCGCCCCCCTCTCCTCCCTCTCCTCCTGCCCCCTCTCCTCCTGCCCATTGCTACCCCTCCACCTCCTCCACCTCGAGATCCTCCTCGCACTCATCCACCCTCCCTAGAATTCTGGCGCCGTTTCGTTGCGGATGCGTTTGTCTCCTCGATGCCGACCCTACGAGACAAAAAATAACACATACATAACAAACACAAGATTTCGGTGGCGGGGACCTGTGCGGGTCTCTTCAATCGGCGCTGAAGCCTCCGGATTCCGACCCCCCGTCCTCCAGCATGCACCCCCGTGCCAGGGTAACGTTGCCTGCGCTTTGCGCGCTCCGTGAAGCGACGCCAGGCCTTGCGTGCTCGAGTGAGTTTCATGCCCTCCTGGAACCCGACAGTATCCCGGCGCTGCGGCACCCGCAGGTGCTCAGCCATTGATGATTGCTGTGCACGTCGATGCAGGACAGAGGCGAGCACGCTCCTCCCTCCTCCACCCCGCTGTCCCAGGCACCCGACGCGGTGATGTTTCACAACAAGTTGACCCCCAGAGTTAAGTTGGGCGCGTCCCTCTGCTGGAGGAATATTCAAAACTAGAGGAGTGTTCAAAACTAGTCAAACATTCGCCTGGGGACGCTCGTTCTTTGATTTTTTTGACCCTTCTCGAGTATTCAGTGACTAGTTCCCATTTTGCGTCCACGATCCGCCTGTAGGGGGACATGCCCGACCTGCCCCCAGAGCTCTGGGCCCGTTCCCCGGGACCGGCCCCCCGCCCCGAGCCGACGCTCGAGCGGCCTCGCGGGGCCGGGTGGGGCCCCCGCGGGCCGAGCAGAAGGTTGGAGCTACGGCTCCGTCTGGCCTGTTCGCGCGACGGTTCGTCTGAGCGCTTTCCCCCCCCTGGGGGGCCAAAGAATATGCACCACCACCACCTCCCTCCCCCCCTCCCTCTCGCTGGACAGAGGAGAGAGGAGGGAGGAGTCGACGTGGTTGTGGTGTGTATTCTTTGGGCCCCCACCCCCCTCCCCCCGCGGCCCACCCCTCCTCCTCTGCCTCCCTCCTGCACGCCCGGCGCTTCGCTCCTCGGCTGCCCCGCAGCAGGCACCCGCTGCAGCGCCTCCGCCGCTGCCTCGCCGCCGGCGAACAGAGTGCCCGCGGCGCGGGGGGGTCGGGGCTCTCCCCCAGCGGGCTCCGCCAGGCTCGTCGCGGCTCGCCGCGCTGGCGAAGGCCTTCTCCGCGACCGGCGACGGCGGCACGCTAGCGAAGCTCGTGGAGGCGGCCCCCCGCCGCGCGGCAGTCATGCAGCGCCGTCGTCCTCCGGGGCCTCGCTTGTTGCGGTCGGGAGCCTTTGGCTTCGCGGGAGGCTCCGCCCGTGTGGGCCCGGCACCCTTCGGCGCGGCACGCGATCCCATCATCGAAGGTAAGAAGACCCCTAGCCCTGATACCATAACTACAGTGGAGGCCCTTGCCAAGAAACACCCTGCTTGCCTCCAGGGTGCCCTGGGCTTCTTTGGTGTCGATGGTTTTGCTATGGAAAGCGTGACCTGTCCACACGAAAAATCAATGGACGTCCTGGGGTCTCAGGGTTGGGCTTCTTGTGGAAGGTTGCTTGTGGATCGGGACCCACTGCAGCGAAGGCTTGGCCTCACTGAGGTCCCCATCTTGGCTTCAGACAGCGTAAATCGCCGATTCGCCGTCGATCCAGGTATGGGCGACGTATCGCCGATTCCAGGTCGATTCATCCCCCTACAGTGGGGGCGCGCATCAAGAAACCATATGCGTTTCGTCGGGGTGTCCTGGGTTTCTTCGCTCCGCGCGCTGCGCGGCGACTTCCTGCGGCCGTTGAAGAAGCTGCTGCGTTCAGGGTGCTCCGGGTTCCCCCTCGGGTGCACCCCGCACGCGAGTTTTCAGGGTTGGGTTTCCTGCGAGGGTTTCTTGCGGCCGCGCCCGCACTGTATGCCAGCCCCCCCCCCCATCGTTGCCCCCCAGGAGCGGAGCGATACGCCATCCGCTTGCAAGGCGCAGCGTGTCGCAGGGGCCGGCGCCGCGGCACGAGGTCCGAGGGTTCCCGACCGTAGCCCCATGGCTCCTCGCTGCTGCCCGCCTCCCTGGGCCCTCGAAGGAAAAACGAGCTCTTCCGGGGGGAAGCCCTAGGACTGCTCCTCCTGCTTCTCCTCCTCCTCCTCCTCCTCCTCCTCCAACTCCCCTTCTCCTCCTGCTCCTGCTCCTCCTCCTCCTACTTCTGCTCCCCCTCCTCCTCCAACTAACCTCCTCCCCCTCCTCCTCCTCCTCCTCTTCCCTCCTCCTCCTTCTCCTCCTCCGCCTCCTCCTCCTCCTCCTCCTCCCCCTCCTTCTCCTCCTCCCCCGCCTTATCCTCCTCATCCTCCTCATCCTCCTCCTTCCATCTTCCTCCTCCTTCTCCTCCTTCTCCCGCTCCCCCTCCTCCTCCTCCTCCTCCTCATCCTCATCTCTCTTACTAGCAGCGCACATGCCATGGTGAGAGAAGGAGTACACAGGCAGCTCAGCCAGCGGCGCACTGAGATGACAGCCAATATGCCAGCATTGATAACAGCGTGATGAATTCGCACATATGGACAATCACACCCTCTTATCATGGTGCAGGCCTTTGTTCAGACGGGCAAGGTTTGTCTTACCCGTCATAGTGGGCGCAGCACATTTGTTTGTCTGATCTTTTACTTGAGCACCGCTGCTAAAAAACTTGCAAAGCATGTACAGGTACAGGTGACTCTTGTCACTGCAAGGGAAGGCAAAGAAACAATGACCGAGGACCTCCAGGACCCTTTGATCGAGGCGAGATTTACCAGGGCACGGATCCCCCGACTGGTCCCACTCGTCGGCCAGAACCAGGGTGGGAGCAGCAGAGCCTTCTGAGGGAACCAGTGAGGACCGTTCCAAGCCTCTGAACTCCAGCTTCGTACAAAGTGGCAATAGCTCCGCTCTTGCCAGCAGGTCAGCAGGAGACACACCGATCATACAGTCGATCTCGTCGCTGTCTGCAGGAGCTAATGTGGGGGGCCTGATTGGCCCCCTTCTTGGTACGCTTGCCATCATAACAATTACCTTGACGCACGTTGTTTCCTGCGCCGACACCTTTTTGGAAGCTCTGCACATGCCTTTCAAGCAAGTGACGCTCTTGGATTATTTTGACCCAGTAGCAGCGTTTTGCACTGATTCCATCAGCGGGGCCAAGGTTCATCAGATCCACAAAATTCGAGCATTCGGAGTAGCACGTGGCTTTGCCCTCAGTGCACAGGGCCGTCCAGGCCAGAGCCCCAAACTCCGAGCCTTGAGGAATCTGAGGCCAGGGAGCCCACAGGGGTCCTTTTGAGCACTCCCAGGCCGTCCCCAGGGGCAAACGCCATTACCACAGACCAGCCCGCACGAGACAACTCTCTAACAGCATGGCGGCGGCACGAGCCGTCCATGAAAATGTGCCCCCAGAAGCCTTCGGAGGGAGGAATACGAGGGGACGGCAGCAGCAGCATCGGCAGGGTCGGGAAATAGCATCCACGACCCAGTCAATCGTCACGCCTTCAGCCAACGGTTCCGGGGCACAGTCTCCAGGGTGTTGACAAGGCCCCATAGAGATCCCAGATCATGCAAATTAGGTTCTCTCCCAACTCCAAGGCCTTCAGCTGGATGGACGCGTCCAGCATCGCATCCCTCTCAGCCTGGATGATGTAGAGCCTGTGGAACAGAGTGTCGCGGGCCACGCCGCAGAGAGCACACCTATCAGAGCAACCATAGCCTGCAGCGAGCACATCACTGGCTGTCCAGCAGGCCTTGGTGGCCTGAGCTCGAATCCAGCCGTTAGTGTTCCCCGAAATGTTCTTGGAAGAGGCCAGCTGCTTGACCACATCCCAACACAAACGGAAACCACAACCATACTTGTCCCCAGATTCCTTGTCCAAAGATCTCATCATAATTTCCTCACACAAGTGCTCCACAAGCTTGGGAGAGGAGGGAGTAGAGGAGACTTCGCGACCGCAGTCATCCAAAGGGATGAAAAAGTTGGGCACAGACCATCTCAACCTATACAGAGGAACACGCAACGCAGAGATATGCCCCGAGACCGACGACCACGAGTGCTTATCGGATCCGAAAACCGAACTCCGCCCCTCACGCATTTCGGCCCAGCTGAGCAACCAAGGAAAAGGTTCGCGTATGCAGGGTCCACCTTTCTTTGGCTCAGCGAAGGACGTGCGCGTAGCTCCAACGCCACGTGGGATCATCCGAGAGAAGACGCACGACAGACAACGAGCGGCCCTCAGCCCTAGGATTGACAGTGGACATGGCCATCCCACGGAGGTCCCGGAGCTCACGATCCGAGAGCCCGCACAGGTCGGAGCCACGAGCTGCGCCAGCGAGAGGACCCGAGGCCAAACCTCGCCAACACCTGCGGCCGAGGGCCCCCGTCAGGCCTTCCAAGCCCTTCCCGTGCCTCGAACGCGTCCCGCAGTCGAGTGCAAGCTGATCCAACTAAGGGGCCCAACTCCCGCAGGAGAACTTCTGACCATGCCAACTTCGTCCGCTTGCACTCGAGCGTGCACGAAATGGAGCGCGCTGGCTCCAGCAATCAAAGAGGTGACCACCGCCCTAGCCTGTCCAGTGCAGCTGGGGCTGAGGTCGTCAACGTAAGCGCTGTAGTCGGTCTGGCCTCCTGGCCCGCGGAGAACCGACAACAGGGCCTGGTCGAAGGCCTCCATGGCGCAGACGCGAATGAGGCTCGTGGCACACGAGCAGCCCGCCACAGTTCCCTCGGACACTAAACAAGGACCCTGGACGATTCCCCCCAGGGCCAGGCAGCGGTCGCTGGAGTAGGCCTGAAGGGCCAGCCTCGCCAGCTGCAGCGTGAACTTATGCTTTTGACATTGCTCCCAGGGGAAACGCAAATCAATCTGCTCATCGTACTTCCGAAGGTCCCAACAAACCGAGGCCGAGGTCCCACTGGACCGCGTGCCAGCTTCGGCCCTGAAGGCCTGCCTCCAAACGACGCCCTCCGCAGCCCTATCGGCCCCCGCAGCCCAGGACTTAAGAGGAAACTGAAGCTCCCGCTGCAGGGCCTCTACGCGACGGGCGCGACCCCAAATGCGGTGCCAGCTAGGGGCCCCTGTCGGGCGAAGGCCCCCCGAGGGCTTGCTCGGCCGGGCCATCGAGACCCGGCCAGTCAGCAAAGGGAGCGGGCCAGTGGCTTCCACGACGGCGAACCTCAGGGCCATCGCCCTCAAAGCCTCCGTTGGGGAGCAAGCAGGAACGGCGGCAGCGACTGCCGTCCACAAACAGCAGAGGCAGCCTTGCTCTTCAAAGAGATGGCCCTCAACTCAGCAGGCTCCAGCACACGAGCGAGAGGGGGGACCTCATGGCCCGCGACGTCACCCGAGCTTTACCCCCAACCATCCATAAACTTTACACACTCAGTTTTCAACCGAGAAACGGGGTCGCAATACACTCTGCTGCATCTCGATACCGTGGTCGTCGGGGTCCAGGCCCCATGGCTTTTGATCGCTCTCTGCGTATTGCAACCCCCTTTGTCAATGCTTGACCTCAACTGCTGACGCCGCGCACTCCGCGACTCCGCTGCCGAGGTGGCAGTGGCAGAAGAGACAGCTGCAACAACCTGGTCGATCAGTTCATCCAGATCGGTTGGCAGCTCGGGATCCTGAGCAGATGATCAGGCGCATCTAGCTAACGCAGCACTCGCCTTGAAAAGTGGGAAGAACGATGAGTCGCCCTGCATCGCCAGGGCCTTCGGCGGCGAGACAATGGACTGCAAAGCTTGCTTGCCCGCGTCATGCAGGACATCCTCAGACAGATCCACCCAACAGTTCGAAGTTGGTTAATCGGCCACATGATGGACCTACGACTGACATCCTTCTCTCTACTAGCTGGTTTCAACGCCGACTTCCAATGGGCCTGGGAGCTCTTCCCACGCATGCCAGAAACCGACATGTCCGACCCAGGGTCCTGCCCAATCCCTTTCCGCAGAATCCGCCCAGGCGCGGTACCTGGAGGGCGAGAAGCTTTCGCTCTCGCGCCGTCTCCCGCAATGAACTCACAGCCCAGGGGATCCAAACACGTACCCACGGTGCGAAGGATTATTAGATTCGCTCCGGCGAGACCTTGGCCGTGGAACAAGTACAGGCTGCAGGTGCACATCGGGGCGCATCCTGGCACATGGGCCATCGTCGCAATAGCTCGGCCAGCACAGAGAACGATCTGCTCACAACCTCTAAAACGTGCAAGACAATACCGAACACACACACACACACCACACACACACACACTCACACAAACACACACGCACGCACGCACGCACGCACACACACACACACACCAGACGACCACCTCCCCCTTCTCCAGCACCGCCCCAGGCGCCCACAGAGCTGTCACACCCAGGCATGTCGCGGCCTTCGAGGCCTGGTCGAGAGGCCCAGGCTCCCTGAGGCGGTGTCCCTGAGCGATCGCGAGGCGAGTTGAGGCCGAGGAAAGGCGCGCATTGAGCGTGCCCCACGGGTGGGTGTTCACGGTGCTGACTAAGAGACCATCGTCCAGCTTGATCGCAGCTCCGTCAGACGCACGCGTGCCTGGGGGCACCGAGGTGCAGCAACAGCATCACGCGCACATATGTGAGATGCCTCACAATATGATCCTGGCTCGTCCAGACGCTACTTCCCAGCCGCGACAGGCAGCGGCAGAGATAACAGGTGAAACGCTCCTGGGCTTTCTGGGAGTTCCTGCATTTCACTCGGCACCAAAGGTGCATCACAGCTGAACTTGCTAAACCTGACACCGCGCAGCACCTGCAAGCGCAGAACAACAAACAGCGGACTAGGGCCTAGGGCCTGGAGCCAGTCACAGAAAACCTTGAGGTTACAGATAAGACAAGGGCTTGCCCCCCTCATATTCTAGCTCTTGTCGATCGCGTGCGACAGGAGGCGGGGAATCCCGACGGGCAGTGTCCACCATTTCTCGAAGATCCTCTTCGAGGGTCTGCTTGTCGCCAGCGGCGGTCGCGGCCGAAGAGGCAGAGGCACCTTCAGGCGCCCCAGCTCCAGCACGGGCCCTTTGGGCACCTGGCCCGCCAGCAGCATCGCCACCGCCCGCGTGAGTCGCTCCCGACTCGCCCTTTCGCTTCCTCGCGGCCAGGCGCACGCGATGCGCTCCATGCGCTTCGCGATGTTGGCGAGCGTGCTCTGCCACCTGGGCGAACAAGTCCTGCGCGAGCTTGTTGACGCCAGAGGCCAGCTCCTCAGTCCGTTTCTGGAACTCGTCCTGGCCCACTGGGCTGATCTTCGCGTCGAGCCCGAAGTCGTCGAGCATCTGGCTGCAATCGACGATCTGCGCGAAACCGACCTTAGCAGAGACCAGGTTCCCCCAGCTTGAGCAACGGCACGCCAGGCTGAGATTCCGCCGACTCCACCTTGGCCGAACCCTGAAGTTGCGCACGAGACTCCTGGTATGCCTGATCAGCAGCCGAAGTTGGCGTGCGTTGTCCACGCAGCGAGCTCTCGGCTTCCGCGAGTTGCTCACGCAGCCGAACCACACGCGACAGACAAGTTTCCATCTGCGTCTCCAGTTTTCGAACATTCGCATGCGCCTGCTGCATCGTGGTGTGGGCCGAAAGTTGAACGGGACGCGCTGCCATGTCGAGGTGCCGCGCCATGCCGAGAGAACGGCGTGCCGCTCCCGTACCCCCCGCCTTCTGAGGCAGCCCACCGAGCACGTTGGCCCCCTCTGCGGAGATGGCTGGGCCTGGGCCCGCAGGAAGTGGCGGGGTGCCTCCTCTTAGCTTCGTCAGTGCGCTCCTCTCCACCTGGTAGAGTAGGACTCCACTGCTAGACGCCTCCACCGTACCAGGCGTTTGCCCGTGCTTCTGCCATCGAGGCCCTTGCCTCCGTAGCCGCCTTTGCCGTAGCACAGCGAGTTGAGAGCGGGAGTTCCCGTGCCTGCAGCTTGTGTGCCACCATTGCTCTGTCCATGCCAGCATCGTAGAGGAGTCACGACCGCAGACCAGCAGTCACCAGGAGCGGGAGCAGGGATAACTCAGGGATACATGCGTGGGAGCGAGCACGGGCAATGCTTGCACCAAAGGGCTTCGGGATGATTGCGCTTGCAACCGTAGGACGGGCACGCTATGCCAGTGGCTTTGGGCTTGCGTTTCTTGTTCCTTGTCTTAGTTCACCCAGAGTGACCGTGGGCGTCATCTCGTCATCCCCAGCTCTGATCCAGGGCTGATACGAGAAATCAGGAGACGGCTTCGGAACCATCGGCAGAGTGTACGGCAAATGAGGCGGTACCGTACACGAACGTAATTGAGAGACAGAGGCTTGGCAGTGAAGCCAGGGAAGCAGTTTGGGGCCGCAAGTTTCCCTTCACCACACGCACAAGACCCTGAGCGAACCGCCACGGACTTGAGCCAAAATGGCTACGGAGCCTCCTCCTGATCTATTCCTCCTCCTCCTCCTCTGCCTCCTCCTCCTCCCCTCCTCCTCCCCCTCCGCCTCCTCCTCCGCCTCCTCCTCCGCCTCCTCCTCCGCCTCCTCCTCCTGCTCCTCCTCATTTTCCTCCTCCTCCTCCCCCTCCCCAGGGCGCCGTTTCCTTCTGGACCCCCGGCGGTGGGAGCTTCCAAGACGGTCGACCCGTTCTGCGCCGCCGCCGCTGCCGCGCGTGGCCGCCAGGCCGCCGAGCTCGTGCAGTGGAAGCACATGCCAAGAAACACCCTGCTTGCCTCCAGGGTGCCCTGGGTTTCTTGGGTGCCGATGGTTTTGCCATGGACAGCGCGACGTCTCCACACCAACATTCCATGGACGTCCTGGGGTCTCAGGGTTGGGTTTCTGGTGGAAGGTTTCTTGTGGTCGGGCTCCAACTGTGTGCCTGCCCCGCTCCGCGCCCCTGGTGGCACGCAGCCTTGTGCCGTGGCCCTCCCTAGGGGAACGGAGACTGACATAAACACATAAACTCGGAGGCCTGCGCGGATTGCTCGCGTCCTCGGTCAGTTTGGTGGTCACATGTGAACCCTACCCCCGCCCCCCACGATTCCTCAGGGGGGTTGGGGAATCAATTCGTTCGGGAGTCCCCGAGCGAAATGAACCCCCATCCGCCTTGGAAATTGAGAGGGGTGGGTGTAGGGTTCACATGTTGCCACCTAGCAGTGGCGAAGCGTCCTGGCACGCCTGTAGGCTCACCAAGGAATGTTCTGAGGACCCCGTGCGGTCTGCACGGGAGGTTCTTCGAACAGTTCTGGCTGAGGCTGTCTTGTTTTAACGCATCAAGTTGACGTTCTAAGAGCATCGTTTTGCTCTTAGAACGTTTTCGGGTTCTGAGAATATTTCGTGGTAGGCCTATAGGACAACCGGAACAGTCGGTACCTGCTCATTTGCTCCGATGCTCGTCCTCGCCCTCTCGTCCTTTCGCCAGAGAAGTAGAAAAAGGCACCCATGCCCCTACCCTTCTCCCATGTGTTTCCCCTCTCTGGCCCTTCTAAGGAGGCCCAGGTCGCCACCGCTGGGGTCGCCTCGGAATCCGGGTCAGAACGCACCTCGGGGGAGGTCCGGGGAGCAGCGGGAGCAGCGGCAGCGGTGCCTTCGGGTTGCCCCACGCCCTCCTCGTGCCTGCGGCCCACGGGTCGCCACAGGTGCCCCCCTGCAAGCCGACCGACTGCCTCAACGGCGTGCGCGTCCTCAGCATGGTCTGGATCATCCTGGGCCACACGTTCCTCATGCCCATCTCGATCGCCGGCTACAGCAACATGGAGGATCGGGGGGGGGGAAGGAGGAGCACGGGAGCGACAGGTGGACGTACACGTACACGAGTCCACGTTGGGCTCGGGAGTCCGCATCCCGCGGGCGCTTTTATCACGAGGCTGGTCTCGCAGATTGGGGCGCCGTATTCATGTATGTGGTTGGGCACGTACGTCCTTTGTGGGCTCTGTAGAAGCGACACCACGACCAGGGGGGGGCACCTCCAGCGAGGGGGTCCACGATGCCTCCCCGAGCTGGGGATAGGGGACGTCTCGAGCGAGAGGGGGGAACCACAGCACTAGGGGTGCCCCTCCAGGCTCCTCCCGCTGGCGATGTGCGGTGGAGGTGCCACTTGTTCGTCGATCCTCGGAGGAGGGCGGCCCTGCGTGCAGGGCGACGGGCGGAGCAGGGCTCGGAGAGTGCTAGCTGGAGGAGAGAGATCGAGGGGCGGAGGATGAGGAGACGCAGCCGCAGCAGAAGGAGAACGGGCGCGATTGGGACGATGAGGATGATGATGCTCATGATCATGATCATGATCATGATCATGATCATGATGATGATGATGCTGATGCTGATGCTGATGCTGCTGATGATCATGATGATGCTGATGCTGATGCTGATGCTGATGCTGATGTTGATGCTGATGCTGCTGATGCTGATGCTGACGTTGATGCTGATGCTGATTATCATGATGGTGATGTCGATGCTGATACTGATACCGATACTGATACTGATGCTGATACTGATGATGATGATGCTGATGATTATGATTAATGATGGTGCTGCTGATGCTGCTGATGATGATGATGATGATGATGATGATGATGATGATGACGATGATGATGCTGATGATGATGATGATGATGATGATGATGATGATGATGCTGATGCTGATGCTGATACTGATGACGAAGAGAAGGAGGAGTAGGAAGAGGAGGAGGAGGAGGAGGAGGAGGAGGAGGAGGAGGAGGAGGAGGAGGAGGAGGAGGGGGGTCCAGTTACGTTGCCAGGTTGACAGAGTCAGCTACCCCCCCCCGCACTCCTGCCCTCCCATAACATGGGAACCGATGCTGGCGCAACTGGATATCGGGACTGGCGCGCGTTCCCGCCCAGCCAACGGACACCGCCCGCGCGCGCTTCCCGCCTACCGCCCGGACCCCTTCATTGTTCGCGGGACAAAAAACGGCATAAAGCTAGTTTCTCGACGCTGCGCGCGCATTCCGTGGACCTGCGCGGGGCCCCCTGGCAGGGCCTCCGGCGCCGCCCCCGACGCTCTCCTCACGCCTGGGAGGGGGGGGGTCTAGCGCAGATCCAAGCAATCAGTTCCTGTTTATGCCGTGTTCCGTTCCTTGACATTCCCCCCGTGCCCCCCCCAATAAACCGGCTGCCCCTCGCAGGACCTCGATGGATTCACCACGTCGTTTGGCAGGCCACGGGGCCGAGGAGCTCGGCGGTGGAATTCGGTGTATGCACGCTCCAGCGTCCCACGGGTGGGGAAGCTGGGGCGTCTAGACCGAGCTCCTGGGGCGACCAGACGACTTGGTGTGTGGCGTCGAGCCCCTCCCGGCTCAGAACAACAGGGGCAATTTCGGGGATGCACCCCCAGGCGGTGTTCGGACGCACCCCGATCGAGGATCGACGCCACCCATCGTTTATCCCCGAGCTGGTGTCCCTAATCTGTTCTTCAGTCCAACCAAGTCTAGGATCGCGGACGCGAGATCCTCTGCTAGCAGCCAGAGGGCGCCACATTTGTGAGTGAGTTTCTGCAAGTGTGCGATGTGCTTGTGCGTGTTCGGTCTTAGAGTGTGCAGCAAGATCAGTAAGGTGGCCAGACGGGCGCGGCAGTGTCTGCTAACTTCGCGAGCAGCGTACATGGTGCAGAGCCAGCAAACGGTATGGGCTTGAAGGGAGTGGCAAGGAGATCATCAACACTGGGATGACGAAGAACGCTGCAGAGGACAACCCGCTCATGTTCGTCGTCTCCTTATTCGGCTCCGATCGCGTGATCCGTTTTGATTGTCCAGTTGTCGCAACGCGCTCTCAGTCATCATTGTGGGCCTCGTCGATATATGTAGGCGGGGCAGGGGAAGGGGTGGGGGATAGTGGGGACGGCAAGATCTCTGCGCTCGCGCCATATCCGACACCCTATCCCTCCCTCCCATCCCTCCCCCATGAGCGAACTGTTTCTCAATCTGCGCACGCGTGTGATAGCCGAGCGGGAACTCCAGAATAAAGACGTCATGGTGTTATTCGCAATCGGAAAAAGGGGAACTGCGTACATAGGAGGAGGAGGAGGAGGAGGAGGAGGAGGAGGAGGAGGAGGAGGAGGTGGTTGGTGAGCAGGAAGGTGAGCAGGAGGACAAGGAGGATGATCAAGGAGGAGGACGAGGACGAACAGCAGCAGCAACAGCAGCAGCAGGAACTGGAGTTGAAGGACTGGCAGGAGCAGGAGGAGCAGGAGAAGACAGAGGAGGGCAAGTGAGGGGGGCGATGACGATGAAGACGTTTTCGGATCCAGAAGAGTGCCCCAGGCTGTGCCGAGAGCCGATCCAAAAGTGAGGCCCACGCGGCAGCGGGAGCACGCTTCGGAAACACCGACAACAATGGGTTATGTGAATACAAACACATACATTTGAATTTTGACATCTGAGACAACACGCAACACATTGGAATACCGACAGCATTCAAGACAACACTTGCATACCGAAACAAAACATACACACACAATTATGAACAATATACATTACATTCAATTCCGCAACAATACGAACAGATCCTGTGTGTGAGAGAGAGAGAACAGCACGCGGAGAGGGTCGGAGACCTTCCGGACAGAGCCGGAGCAGAGGGGAGAGCAGCATGCATATTGTGTAACCGTCAGGTTGGGCGTGCTCGCACCTGCCCCTCCCATCCAACCCTCCCCATCGCTCTGAACATTCTTGCATCCGCCGACTGGGGGGTCCCGGAATACCCCGATCTCCAGATAGCAGTTGCAGGATGTGACCCATCAAGTGCTGCGCATGCAGAAAAGAAGCTCTTGAGCATTGGAAATGGAGGAAGAGAAGGGAGAGGCGGATGAGCAGGAGCAGAAGGAGGAAGAGGCGAACGGGCAGGAGGAAACTGAATAAAGGAGGAGGGAGACTGAGCAGGAGCAGGGGCAGGAGAAGAGGGAGGAGCAGGAGGATCAGGGGAAGGCGGAGCAGGGAACACGGGGCGGAACGGGGAATCGGATCCAGAAGAGTGGCCCGCGCTGGGGCCAGAGCGCCATGCCGAACGACGGGAGCACCGTTTTGAAGGACCATGGATGCTCCCATCGAAAAAAGCACACGGGACATACACATCAACTTGACCTGTACAAGCGAATCATCGTATGCTGGAGATGCGGGTGCTGAGCTGCACAGTGCAGGTTGCAAAAGTGCAGTGGGGTTCATAGGGGGTAGGTTATGCATGATGGGTCGTCCCCATATCGATCCCAAAATATTGGAAGTTAACACACACACACCATAGCGATCCCAAAAGGATCGATATGGTGTGTGTGTGTGTGCTAACTCAGAGGATGAGAAGGTACCCACACCGCTACGCTTTGCCCGTTTTCCCTCTTTGGGCCTCAAATGCCCTTGTCGCCACCGCTGGAGTCGCCTCGACATTCTAGTCAGAAAGCACCCCGGGAGAGGTCTAGGGAGTAGCGGTATCGGCACCTCTGGTCTCCCCGTTATTTTTCAAGTCGGGAGCGCCGCATGCAGTCCTGCGCATTCCCGCCCGCCCTCCAGCCAGACAAATAGCACCCAGGACTTAGCATGGGCAACGGTCTCCACCTGGTGGGCAGCCACTGGGGAGCCACTGCGCAAGCCGGATAAGCCACGTTCGCGGGGTACGCCATGCGCTCCAGGATCGCCACGTCAACCAGATGTGCCAGGTGCCTCAGGCACAGCCAAGACGCTGAGGGCCGCTTTGGCTCTGGAGGGGGCTCGCTGTTCCTTAGGTCGCATCGTGGTTGTTCCTCCAGCCTTCCGCGTGCATCCATGCATTTCTGGTTCGAAAAGGGGCTTCGTTCCTTCTTTGGCGCTGCTTGCTTCAACAACCCGACAGTACCCCGGCGCGCCAGGAGCAGTCCGAAGCATGCAACATATGGGGCGTGCCAATGAGGCCTTGCCTTCGAGGATCGAACTCCTCCTCCTCCTCCTCCTCCTCCTCCTCCTCCTGCTCCTCCTCCTGCTCACCCTCCTCCTTCCCCTCCTCGTCCTCCTCCTCGTCCTCCTCCTCCTCCTCCTTCATCTCCTTCACATCCGCCACCTCCTCTTCCTCCTCCTCCTCCTCCTCCTCCTCCACCTCCTCATCATCATCATCATCATCATCATCATCATCATCATCATCATCATCATCATCCTCCCGCGGAAGGCGGCGGAAGGGCGGCGGAAGGTCGGCGGAAGCAAAACGAGGCCGCCTCCGCCGGCGGAAGCCGGCGGAGGGTGGCGAAAAGCCTCGACGGCTCGAAGGATCTTTGCACGCTCAGGGCGTGCTGGGTCGCAACTCCCAGCCCGACCGACTCACTCGACACCTCCCCTCCGCGCGTGCGCGGCCCATGCGGAGCGGCGCCCAGGAGCGGGAACACCAACGACCTCTACGTCGGTGAGGTGAGCGCTGGACCCTGGCACGCGGGTCCTGGACCTGGAGATCAGCTTCACCATGCCGAATACGGCCTCCAGGGAGCAAGTGCACTGGGGAGGCAAACGGGCTCTTCGACGAGCCGCTCGTGCTCTATACCTGCTCGGAGTGGTGTGGTATCGTGGCAAGAAGTACACCAGGGCCACCGCCGCAGCTCTCCTCTCAGATCACCGACGCCAGGGGGCCCAGGGTGATGCTGAACATCTTTCTTCCACTTTCTCCTCGGGGGCACCACCTGCGCGTCCTCCTGCTGACCTCCCTGACTTGGCCACCAGCGCCGCCAGGTACCATGCACGCTTCACCCGACGAGCTCATCGCCACAAGCAGCTGATGACCTTCTGGAGCTACAACTGCGAGAGCCTACTTCGAGCTGACCGCCTCGGAGAACTACTTCGTTTAGCGACCAAGGCCAATGTGTCGGTGGTGTGCCTCCAAAGCACTTTGCTTGAGCTGGGGCTGCCGTGGACGACGGAGGGCTACAGAGTTATCCCGACGCCACGCACTACCCGTACGAGCCGTGACGGATGCCTGATAGCATTCAGCCTGCGACACTTTCTGCCCTCCGAGCTGCGCGTTTCCCACAGTTGGCTGGACGGCAGACTCCAAGGGATCCGACTAAGAAGAGCGGGCCCCAGAGAACGAGACGTCTACATCCTGAACGGCTACGCCCCCCTGAATGAGGTTAGCCACGCCGTGACGGGTACCGATCACCATGAGAAAGTTGCAGCCCATCGAGAGTTTCAGAATAAATATTGGAGTCAATGCCGAGCCGCCCTGCAGCAAATCCCCCGCCGCACTGCCCTGGTTGTCACCATGGACGCCAACGCCGCCATGTCGCCGAACCCCCCCCACGTTGGCTTCGCGGGCCAGCGCCGCATGTATGCCGCCACCAACTACAACGGTATGCGCCTGCTGGACCTCCTGCAGACGTTCCACATGACCGCCCTCAACACGTTCGGCAGGATGAACCGCCAGAACGGGACATGGAAGCACACCACAGGCCCTGGATGGACCACCATCGATTACATCTGCACCAGGCTCCACGGTTCCTATGGAAAGCGGGCGGCCCCGCTGAAGAAGTTACCTGTCAGCCTCAGTGGTTACCGCGACCATCGCCCAGTTCAGGCTCAGATCTACGTCGGCCTTCGGGCACGCCGCCGACCTGAAGAGAAGCCCGCCCGCTGGGACCGAGACGCCCTAGTACAAGACCTCAACCTTCTCCGTGACCCCGATGCCGAACTCCCCCAACGCCTAGTGGACATGCGATCGAAATTTGTGACACTCCTTGACCAGCGGCTGCTGTCTGGACAGTGGCCTGATGAATGCGGAGACGAACGCAGATACGCCACCCCGTCAGACTACTTCAACGCCCTGGAGCACACGTTGATCGAGGTAGCGGCCCCATACTACATTCTACAGCCCCAGAAGTTGACCCGCCCCAAGCTGAAGGACTCCACCCTGGCCTTGATCGACCGCAAGCATCGCATCCAGCGCAGAATGGCCAGCATGACCAATCAGGAGTCCGACAGCTACGCTGCCATGCAGGCCGAGTTCGACACAGCATATCGTGAAGCCGCCAGAGCAGTTCGAGCCGCCAACGACTGGCCGACACAGCCACGGAAGCGGAGACGGCCGACGCGAACCAGAACCTGCGGAAGCTCCACAGCGTCATCCGCCGCCTCGCCCCGAAGCCTGCCGCACCCACGGTCACGGTCAACAACCCCGAGTCTGGAGGCCTCTGCATGGACGACGCTGAAGAAGCCGACGTTCGAGTACGGGCCCTGTGCAGCATCTTCGAGGGCTCGATGATAGACATGGCCACACCTGGCGGCCCCCCTGGACTTCTTCCACGTGACGATACCAGAATCGGCTCATACACACCAGATGATGTCAGGAAGGCCATCCTCAAGATGCCCAACTTCAAGAGTGCGCCTGTCCTCAAGCTGATAGACACGGAGACCGACCTCCCCGACCAGGACACGCACGACGGGTCCATCATCGAACTTTGGAAGCTGCTGGCGACCGAAGCCACGCCGGCGCTCCATGGAGTTTTCAACGCATGCCAGGCCCTTGGACACTCTGCCCAGCGCTTTAAAGACGGAGAAACGGTTTCACTACGGAAACCCAAGGGAGACGGCAAGAACGCGAAAGACCATTACCGCACCATCAATTTGATCAACCACATCGGGAAGGTGTTCATGAACGTCACAGTCATGCCGTCACTGCGCGGTTTGGCCTCAAGATTCTCCAGCTCACAGTTCGGTGCCCTGGCAGGCCGCTCTACCCGAGATGCCCTGGCGGTCGTAGCCGAAGTGGCCCGACGATACAGACTTCATGGCCGCACCTCCCGCCTCGGCAAGACAGCGATCCCAGGCATGCTCCTCGCGGTGCTCATTGACCTCGAGAAGGCGTTTGACCTGGTCGACCGCGATGAGATCTGGAATGCCCTAGAGCGCCTCTCCCTCAGGCGCAACGTGAGATTGACGGTCGAGGAGCTCCATGAAGGCACATGCTACATCGCCAGAGATATTCGGACCAACCGCCCCATCAAGAAGCTGCTCATCTCCCGTGGCGTCCGCCAGGGGAGCGTGGAGGGACCCCTATTGTTCATCGCCGCCTACGACCTGCTCACCGCCAACTTAGAGCAGAGCCACGCCATGTCAGAATTCACCGTGGTCTCTGTAGTGTTCGACCCGACGTTGGAAAAAACTCGTCACCTCCACCTCCTCCCAGGAAATGATGGGGAAGAATGCTTACCAGTATCGCCCATAAAGTTCGTTGATGACTTGATCGCGTTCACCATTGTCGAGGATTTCGAAACGATCTCGAGGTTCCTGTCATTTCTGAAGAGTGAAATCACGAAGGGGAAGATGAAAGTTAACGACTCGAAAACAGAAATGCTCATTGTCACCACGGGAAGACGAAGTAAGGCTCGGAAAACCACGATTCGAACTAAACAAACCAACGTGACCATGGATGGGACTTTGATCAACGCCACCCCGAGCGTGAAGTACCTAGGAGCTAAGCAACGTGATGATAGTTCGATGGTCGAGGAAATTACGCACAGGATCCAGGGAGGAAATGCTGCCCACGCTCGCCTAGCTCGTCGTGCTTTCAAGTGCCAATTCAGTGTCCGACTTAGAGTTCGGTTGTGGTGCTCTCTGGTACGCTCGTCTGCTCTGTACGGCCTCGAAGTCGCAGTCCTTACCAAGCGTGACCTCACTCGTCTAGAAAATTGGCAAACACGGAAGTTGAGGTTCCTTGCTCGCTCTCCTGCACACGTACATCATGTGAGCAATTCTGAGATCCGTCAGCGCACCAGGGTGTACACAGTGGCCTCTACACTGCTGGAGAGACGGCTTGCGTGGTGGCAAGGAGTTCTCCGCCCCGCCTTCCCCGACCTCGTGCAGAAACAGCAGGACCCCCAGGAGAACGGCGCCCAGGAGAACCCAGACGAGGCCCCCGAGGAGCTCTTGGCCCAGGAGAACCCAGACGAGGTCCCCGAGGACCCGAAGTATGACCCCACGAAGTTAGTCCGTGCGGTGGTTTTTGGTCGATTCAACTTCGAGGGCCCCAAGCATAAGGAGATTAATTCGCTCTTGGGAGTTCTTCTGGACGACCTCAGACACCTCTGGAGGGCCCTCGCCCCCGAGGCCCAGCAGCAAGCCAGGGACGCCCATGGCCTGAATGAGGAGCTCCCGAACCCGTCTCGCCCGTGGCTTCGCTGGTTGTGTTGCGTCCCCAGGGCCCGACTCAAAGGAGTGCGAAGCACAACTACCGATGACGAAGAGAAGATAGCCGCGGGAATCGCCCCTCCACCTGATGCCCTGCTACCTTGCCCGATATGTTCCAGGATGTGCCAGGGCCCTAAGGGCCTCGACAACCACATGTTTTCGGTCCACAAGAAGTACGCCAACCCCACGGACTTAACAGATGACCAGCTCAGGTCCCTGAAGTGCCCTCGGTGCGCCACTAAGTTCAGCAGAAAGGACACCCTCGTTCGCCACATTCGTATGGGACGGTGCCGAGCTACCCCGTCGCTGTTGGCCCAAGCCTCTGCGAGTCGGGCACCTGAGCCACCCGCTCCTGGACCTCCCGAGCCTACACCACCCGACGATGTTCGTGCCGATCGCGGAGGTCCAGGGAGGCGTCAAGAGGCAGGAGCCCGAGGCTCAGGACAGCACCACAGCGTCCAGCGAGTCGACGCCGAACGGCAAGCTCACGAACCTGATGTGCCGCCTCCTCCTCCAACACGAAGCAGCCCACCAGGCCGACGCGAGGGGCGACAACTTCACACTCACCCTCAAAGTCGGCACCAAGATCGAGATGGCACTGGAAAACGGCCTGCAGAACTACATAGCGACTGGCAAATCCGCCCGCGAGGGCGACAACTTCAAGGGCCACCCGCTCGGAAAAAAGCCAGACGCACTCTTGAGGTCGGTGATCTTCCGCATGGCCGAAGCCTACGAGAACAGCTCCCAGCCCGTGCAGGAAGCCGTGAAGAATGGGACCAACCCCGAGAAGGCCCTCGGCGCGCTGGAGGTGCTCCAGCGCTGGGGTTCGATCGCCAAGGACACGGAGATCATGGCGCGCGCGACGCGGTGCTTCAAGGTGAAGCTGGCCGAGGGCGACGTGGAGCAGGTGCGCTGGATTTGGGCCGTCAATTATCACCCCGAGCTCAAGCTCGCGCTGTCCACCCTCAGGGACAACGGCGGGCTCAAGGCGGCAGGAATCCTCCTAGGCCACGACTACGGTCAGAGGTCCAAGGTTGCAAAGCAGATAGAGGAGCTCGCCTTCCGAAAAAACGACGCGCAGAAGTCGAAGGGCGCCAAAAAGCCCAAGAAGAAGTAGACATTCCCTCGGCCAGTTCTAAGAGTAGAACTCTTCCAGACTTGTTCAAACGCCAGAGACTCAGCAGTTTAGTTCAGTGATGATGGGGCTATCTAATCTTTATCGTATCCCATGCTCGTCGGCCTCTTTACCTTCTCAGACGACTGGTCGCAGTCGATCAGCGCGGGGTGTGGGACGACCAACATGCTGTGCAACAGGTTCCAAGGGTGGAGCGTGTTCGTGCCTGGGAAGTCGCTCGTCCTTTAGGCCCCGTGCGCCTGCCTCCCTCTTTCTCGGTTCAGCATCTTGAGTGCTCCTGAGTTTGCGAGTTTTGATGGGGAGCGGCCCCCCGACCCCAGAGGGGGCTCGGGTGCCGCTCTCACAGTGCCGCCTCCGCAGAGGCGGGGGCGCGTGGGAGTGGGGCGGAGACCCGTCCGCTCGTGTTGCGCGCGCACCCGTCGTGGGCCCATCGTTCGTGATATAGGATCTCGAATGCGCCGATTTCGGTAGTTTTTCATCTAGGCCCCTCACGAAGCGTCCTTTCCTGAAGGCTCTTGGGCGCAGTGGTTTAAAAAAAGGAGGGTGGCGAAAGTAAAACATGCGCCCCCAAGGGATACATATTTTTTGTTGGTTCAGGGTTTCGGGAAGATGCGGGCGTGTAACCGCGTAGGTGTACAACGAACGGCGGCGAGCGAGGGAGGGAACGCGAGAAAGCGAGGGCCTTCTCGGAAGGCGGCGGGACTTCTCTCAGGAGCCCTTACGTCTGCCGAGAAGTTTGTCCGTGTCGTCGGGATGCGCTTGGACAGCTTCTCAGAAGGCGGGGGGGTCATCCGAGCCTGCTTAGAAGGCTCCCTCCTTCCTCGCTCTCCCCGCGCTCGCCGCCGAAACGAGCGGAGTTGGGGCCAAAGCGGATACAGGGGGTCCAGCAATAATAATTAATAGTGTAGCAGTCCGTATGCAGTGTAGCAGCAGCAGCGCAGCAACAGCCCGCACCGCGGATTCTCACTGCAGCCACGCGTCCAGGGACAGTGAATGTCCGTTCGAACCCCTCACTCTGACGAGCGTGTTGTGTATCTAGTTCTCCGTAGTTTTAAGTCGGGCATGTCCCTCTACAGGAGGAAAATTCCAAAATAGTCGAAAAATAGTGTGGGGCCGATTTTTCTACTATTGTTGACCATTCTTGAATTCTTTTCGACTGTTTTGAGTTTTCATTGAAAATTCGCCTGTAGGAGGACATGCCCGACCCAACCGTAGGCTGCATGAGCTCTGCCACTGGCAGCGTTGAGACTGCCGTTGCGCTTCCCTCCTCCATCACCATCATCATCATCACCCGTTTCAGCATACCCCTCACACGCTTCGTGGCCCCATAGGGAGCCCCACCGAAGGTCCCAGTGCTACCGTCCGCATGCGTCCCCCCCACCCAGTACAGCGCTTCGTGGTCCCATAGGGAGCCTCACCGAAGGTCCCAGTGCTACCGTCCGCATGCGTTCCCCACTCCCAGTACAGCGTTCCGTGGCCCCGCAGGGAGCCCCACCGAAGGTCTCAGTGCTACCGTTCGCATGCGTCCCCCACACCCAGTACAGCGTTTCGTTGCCCCATAGGCAGCCCACCGAAGGTCCCAGGGCTACCGTCCGCATGCGCCCCCCCCCCCCCCCCCTGTACAGCGCTTCGTGGCCCCATAGGGAGCCCCACCGAAGCCCCTGGGACTGTCCGCATGCGTCCCGGAAATCTAATTTGGCATTTGCACCCCACCCACTACGGCGTTTCGTGGCCCCATAGAGAGCCCCACCGAAGCCCCAGTGGGACTGTCCGCATGCGTCCCTGAAACACAGTTTTGGTATTTTCACACCACCCACTACGGCGTTTCGTGACCCCGTAGAGAGCTCCACCGAAGCCCCCAGTGGGACCGTCCGCATGCGTCCCGGAAACCCAATTCGGCATTTTCACCCACCCAGTACAACGCTTCGTGGCCCCATAGGGAGCTCCGCCGAAGCCCCCAGTGGGACCGTCCGCATGCGTCCCGGAAACCAAATTTGGCACACCCCTCATACGTTTCGTGGCCCCATAGGGAGCTCCACCGAAGTCACCACTGGGACCGCCCGCATGTGTCCCACACACCAGGTTTTGCATTTTCTCCCCACCCAGTACGGCGTTTCGTAGCCCCATAGGGAGTTCGCCCGACGGCCCCAGTTCTACCGCCCGCATGCGTTCCCCCCCACCCAGTGCAGCGCTTCGTGGCCCCATAGGGAGCTCCACCGAAGAAAATATTCACAATTGCGGTACCCACAACTGCATATGGTTGGGTCCGTCGCCAGGATAATTTCTGCTTTTGGAGGCCTTTCCCGGGCCTCGGGAGCGTCAAACAACGACTCAGGATGCAAAACCAGTCCCGGGGGAGTGAGTCGAAACCTCTCAGGGTCGACGTTATGAAGCAAATCATGACATCGGGGGTCTGGGAGTGCAGGTCATGAGCCCCGCGTGCGATTTCGAGTTCAAGCTTGAGAGAGAGGAACAGTTGCATCACCATCAACTTTCGGAGCTCCGTGCGGACCGTCGAAAGTGTATGGACATGCTGGCTTTTCTTCCTCTGCCAAGCTGCTGCTCGTCGGCGACTCGGGCGTCGGCAAGTCCTGCCTAATGCTGCGCTTTGCGGACGGCATCTACACTGGGAGCTACATCAGCACCATCGGCGTGGATTTCAAGATCCGCACCCTCGACCTCGACGGCCAGACGGTGAAACTGCAGATATGGGACACCGCCGGCCAGGAGCGTTTCCGCACTAGCACCAGCAGCGCATCATCACCATATCCAGTAGCGCTTCCGCACCACTACTACCGCGGCGCCCACGGCACCATCGTCGTCTACGACGTGACCGACATGCAGTCGTTCGAGAACGTGAAGCATTGGATGCAGGAGATTGACAAGCACGCCGAGGATGGCGTCCACAAGCTGCTGGTGGGCAACAAGTGCGACCTCTCCTCCCAGAGGGCTGTCCCCCACGACGAGGCGCAGGAGCTCGCGCAAGAGCTCGGGGTGCAACTCCTGGAGACGAGCGCCAAGACCGCGCACAACGTGGCACAGGCCTTCCGGACGATGGCGGGCGAGATCAGATGGGGAACGAACAGTGACATAAACATAAAGATTCGGAGGTCCGCGTGGATTTCTCGGATCCGCGCTTGACCCCCCTCCCTGGCGCGCGGAGCGCGCCAGGGGCGGGGCCAGAGGCGCCGCCAGGGGGGTCCAGCGCGGATCCGAGAAATCCGCGCGGACCTCCGAGTCTTTACGTTGATGTCATTGCTCGTTCCCCTAATCAAGGGTCGGGCTGCCTCGCGGCCGCAAAGGGAGGCCCCAGAAGGCACCGCCGCCACGCTGTGGTCCCGCCGTAGGGCGCAGGTTGCTGGCTGCTGTGGCTGAGGGGCCGCCTGCCCCGCAAGGCCGCTCGGCCCCGCCCACGAGCGGAGCCTCTGCACCGCTGCGAGGCCGCCACGACGGCGGTCGGCGGCCCCGCAGCAGTGCCGCCTGCCCCTCGCCGTGCACTGCCGCCTCGGGAGAACGACGGGCCGGCGCCCGTCCTTCCCGCCGCCCGCCCGCGCGCTGCCTGCCTGCGGGCGCGCCCGCGCGCCACCCGCGCCATCGCGCTCGGCGGTGACGTGCAGCTGCCTGATCGGCTCAAGTCAGCATCGTTTCGCCGACCCCTATCCCCATCCCCACCCCTAGCCAGACCCCCACCATCTCAGGAGCCCGAAGGACAGCCATGTCCCCATCCAGGGGGGCAAATCGGCCAGAGGGGCCCAGGCCACGCCCATGGTGATAGGGGTCGGTTCAACGATGCTCAGGAGTCAGGACCACCTTGGGCACAGGAGGGGCTCTGGCTCTCCGAGGCTCGCCGTGGCCAGAATGGCCATTTGGTTCCTCACCCAGCGATCCTGGTGGCAGCACGATCACGGCATGACCGAAGACGAAGAGGTCGGGGAGCCGAGCCGCGCCGTGAGGCTCTTCCCGGCCCCGCCCTCGACTGCTGCGCGCCGCCCCTCCGGGCCCGCATCGCGGTGCCGCGGCCGTGCGCGCCCGGTGCAGCGCGCGGCCTGAAGGGCCCTCCCGCGCCCGCGCGCGGGGCGCAGCTTGGCGCGGCCGCCGCCAGGGCTGGGCGCGGCCGCCAGCGGGGCGGCCCTGCAGCGGCCCCTGCGCGCGGCACCGCCGCGGCGGGGGCTGCGGCACTGCTGCGCGCAGCTGCGCGCACGCGCCGTGCCGCGCAGATGCGCGCGCCGTGCCGCGCAGCGCGCGCGCTGCCGCGCAGTGCGCGCTGCGCCGCGGACGGAAGTGGGCGCGCCGCGCGCAGGGGAGACGCGCCGCACGGGCGACGGCCGAGCTGGCTCGACGGGGCGCCCACGGCCATCAGCGTCCTCCTCCTCCTCCTCCTCCTCCTCCTCCTCGTTCTCGTCCTCCTCCTTCTCCTCCTCCTCCTCCTCATCCCCTCCTCATCTTCCTCCTCGTCCCTCCTGTTACTCCTCTCCGCCTTGCTCCTCCGTCTCCCTCCTCCTCCCACGCCAATCACCAATAACCACATTCCGCACATTGTATACATCTGTATATATTTATACTACAATATATCATATATCAAGAAATAATGGCTTTCCGCCACCGCGCATGGGTTGTGGGCCACAGGCCTCTACGATGTTCGTTGGGATGTCGCGGGAGGCCCCCCGGGGGCCTCGTGGAGGCAGTTTTAAGGCCTCGTTTGAAGGCCGTTTTACGGCCTGCTGGAGCCTCTTGGGTGTTCTTGGGGGCTTCTTGGGGCCTCTTGGGGAGCATCTTGGGACGGAATGCTCGAGTTGTCGGTTCGGGCTTCCCCTCTTGGGCTCCTCTTGGGCCGTTTTGGGACCCTCTTGTGTCGTCTGGGGCGCCTCTTGGAACGTCTTGGGGCCCTCTTGGGCCGTCTTGGGACCCTCTTGTGAGCCTCTTGGGCCGTCTTCGAGTGGTCTTGGGGGCTTTTTAGGACGTTCTTGGAGCGTCGGACAGTCGAGAACCCCAACGACATTCGAACACCAGGGGCACATCAATGGTTTTGGCTTCCTAGGGACCTGATGGGGAAGCTCTTGGAGGCCTCTTAGGGCGTCTTGTGTGCTTTTCCGGCCGACTGGATGCCATTTTGGGCGTCTTGGACCGCTCGTTCGACGATTCGGGGCCCCCATTGGACTGTCTTGGGGGCCTCTTGGGGCTCTCTTGGCCCGTCTTGGGGCCTTCTTGGGGCCCGAAAAGTCACGCGACCGGACGCGACAAGCCTCTCCCGAGAGACTTGAGAGCTGGGGGTCCAGGCCCCTGGAAGAATACCCAGGATGTGGGGCCGAGGCTCAGAGGTTGAGCAAGGGACCTGGGGGCACTCCACTTCGTGCCGCAGGGGCACGGTGGCGGATACACACGTATAACACATACATGTTATATATATATATATATATACCTACAGACATACATACATGCATACAGATATCTGCATCAATTCGATACATGTATAGAAGCACCTGTCGAGGTATGATGACCGAGTAGACGGTACGTCGAGTCCGGACCTGCGCCCCTGCTCGAGAAACAAATGGAGGGTTGCGGGCCCCGGTGGCCCCGAGTGATCTCCCGTCGCAGCCTCTCTCGAACCAGGCTCACCCAGAGAAGCCTCGAAGCTTATGATGTTCCAACCTACTTTAGCCTTGACAGCCAGAAATAATCAAGGGCTCCCCCGAGGGCGCGAAGTTATTCGCGCTTCGCGCTTCGCGGTCCTCGTTCCTTCTCCCCCTCCTCCTCGTCCTCCTTTCCTCCCTTTGGGGGGGGCTGCGCGAGAGCGCGAAGTTATTCGCGCTTCGCGCTTCGCGGAGCGCGAAGCGCGAAGTTGGGAGCCCTAGAAAGCACCGAAACTTGTGGGATGCGGTCCTCGAGCGCGATGGGAGCAGCATGTCTCTAAGTGCGCATGCAGGGCCGAGGCAACTGCAGCCCCTGGGTGCCAAACGGGGCGCCCCAGAAAAATGGGCCTCGCCTTCGAGGGATCGAGAAGCAAGGGCTCCCTCGAGGGCGCGAAGTTATTCGCGCTTCGCGCTTCGCGGTCCTCGTTCCTTCTCCCCCTCCTCCTCGTCCTCCTATTCTCCCTTTGGGAGGGCGGCGCGAGAGCGCGAAGTTATTCGCGCTTCGCGCTTCGCGCAGCGCGAAGCGCGAAGTTGGGAGCCCTAGGAGAAGGCGCCATCTCTGCCTCGGCAGAATGCGGAGGAAGGTCGGCGGACGCGGGGGGGAAGTAAACGAGTGCGGGTCTCGCAACGGAAGCCGGCGCATCAAAAAGTCGGTCCTCCAAGAGATGACATCATTGATTGGGTCAGGGTTTCCGCATCGGGTCGAACATCAATGTCACATAATGTGGGCAATGGTTCCAGAAACCTATTTGGCTGGATTGCGTTATCTGAAACCGTAGCCCTTTGTTTGTTATCATTTCCGAGGCCTAGAGGTCGACACCATCACCAATATCGACGGTGTGCCTCCACCGAGGGAAGATGCTTCCGATCTCGGCGATGGTGGTCATATTCGGGCTTCCCGGGTAGCCGAAACATCACTACCAACATCAGCATCTAGGATCATCTTCCTTCGTTGGAGGCAACAGCCTGTGTTGGTGTTGGTGCCCATCTCCAAGCCTCCAAAGTATCGTGCAGGTTTCTGGTGCTGATGGTGCAGAGCCTGGCATCCCAAGACGTTGCGCCAGCTAAGCTTGCCTCGAGCTGTTCGTGTGCACTGTCTGGCCGCCCACGGCGCGCACGCGCTGATACGCGTCGCTTGGACGCCACACCGTTGCCATCATGCACACATCGATCGCCCATGCGGAGCTCATCCAGTTTTTGCATCTCATACGGAGTATTTCACCTCAGGCGTGTAAGTGTTTATGCTGGTTGCCGTCACGGGCGCAATGGGACTCGATCCACCTGTGCCCCTTGTGTTCTCATGTTCTCCATTCTGTGCGTGGAAGTCTCGGACCAGAGAGGTCATACTCAGCGGGCAGAGCGGCGTCGACACGTTCTTCTTTCTGTCGGCTTTCCTGCTGTCGATGCTGACCCTGAAGGACGCTCTCTTGCCTGGCCACTAGGAGGAGCGTGCATCCGCGTCGATGGGAGGAGGGAGGCCCCAGAGGAGGAGGCAGAGCAGGCGGGTTCCCCGAACCCGAGTCTTACGCCCAGGAGGAGGAGGACGAGGACGAGGAAAACGAGGAGGAGGAGGAGGAGGCGGCGGAGGACGAGGAAAAGGAGGAGGAGGAGGAGGAGAAGGCAGAGGAGGAGGAGGAGGAGGAGGAGGAGGACGAGGAGGAGGAGGAGGAGGACGAGGAGGAGGAGGACGAGGACGAGGAAGACGAGGAGGAGGACGAGGATGAGTGTGAGGCCGCACAGGCGGCTGCCCCGCTCGCCCCGCCGCTCGCCAGGACCTGCGCTCGAGGAGCGGCAGGATCAACGTCTTCGCCGCCGTGGTGATGAGGTACGTGAGGCTCACGCCCAGCCTGGCCCTCACCATGCTCGTGTGCCGCCTCCCCCCGCCTCCCCTGCCCAACGCTTTCCGAGACCTTCGGGTACCTTTTCTTTGTGGTATTCCGCCTGGGCACGTGGTTTCGTGCGTCGTGCCGCCAGCTCTGGCCCACCGCGCTTCGGCGCAGCACGGCAAGCACGTCCCCGTCCCCGAGGGTCAAAATCCCGAGCTTGTCTCAGCCTCCAGTCCCATGAAGCAGCTCGACACGCTACCAGCTTGCAAGTCATAGCCTGTCGCAGGGACCGCCGCCGCGACATGCTAAGCAAACGCTCGCTATGGTACTTCCCCCGCGCCTTACATTTCTGGATCATCCTCTGTCGGGAGCGTCTTGAGAATCCACTCCCCCCCCCTCGCCAACATGCACATGCGCTTCGTGGGGATGGTGATGATCGTGAGGGCGGTAGTAAAGGTGATTACGACGCAACTCGCGATCACCACTGCCATGCTTGCGAGTACGATGGCAGCCATATGGTAGCGAATAGAGTAACCAGGAAGCGTGGCCCACTAACCTCTGAACTCATTTCATTGGGCTGGCTGTTGGTGGGGAGTTACATTTAAAGGCTGCCGCCTCTGCCGCCGACCCCAAATAAATGCATGTATTGTTTGTGCGTTGCGTCGGTTGGGGGGAGACCTGGGGGTATCGGTCGTTGTTGGGCAAGAAATCGCGGGGTCGGGGGGTCCCAAGAACAGAGCCCAGAGGCCTGGGGATGTCGAGGGGGGGTGGAGGCGAGGTGGGGGGCGAGGTGAGGGGGGTATCGGTCGTTTTTGGGCGAGAAATCGTGGGGTCGGGGGTTCCTAGAACAGAGCCCAGAGGCCTGGGGATGTCGAGGGGGGGTGGAGGCGA